GTAGCAATGGGATGGATCGCCAATATCCCCTATCGTAGCATATATATATTTATATTTTATGGACAGCTGGGGAAATAGTGCTCGTAATACATTTATTCCTACTCCAAAAATATGGTGGAGATATGTGGATGACACTTTAACTCATAGTGTTAAAAACAGAACATGTCTCTCTCTAGCTTCTTGACACATATAAACTCACAAGTAGAGGGAATAAAATTCACGTTTGAAACAGAAAATGAACAAGGAGAATTAGCTATGGTGTTAGGTTGTAAAATAAAACGAATAGAAGAAGGTAGACTGCACTGCACACTAACGTTTATAAAAAGGTAACGCATTCAAATAGTTATTTAGATTATAATTCATCTCGTCCGTTAACTGTGAAGACAGGCTTAATTAAGTGTCTAACAAACCGAGCTATAGTGGAGAGCAGGCTGCTAGCCGATTGGTTGGCACTAATCTACGTTAAGGTCTAGGTCACTAATATGGGCCGTGAGAAAATATGAACAAGCCTGAGTCAACAACCAATCACAGCAAAGTTAACGTGGCAAAATATGATTCGCAGAGAGAACTTATTTGTCAAGGAATCCCGAAACAACCAATCAGAAGCCTGCGTTTGTCTACCTAAACAACCAATCAGATGACTGCGCTTGTCTATAATAATGTAGTTGAAAGATGTATAAAACGTGTTGATTTTCATAATAAAACGATCTGTTGCCGGCCTTGTCTTCTGTTGTACAATAGCACTAAGTAGTACAGAAAAAGACCTAAATGATGAAATGAAACAGACAGAAGAAGACGCGTTGGTGTTGAGTAACTATCCTTTGAAATTCATTAAGAAGATCGAAAAAGGCCGAAAGCAAAATAAAATAATGGTGAAACTAGTAACGATAACACAAATAAGAGAGAATATAAGTCATCTACAGTCATACCATATAAAGCGGGAATATCTGAAACACTACGTAGGATTCTAAATAAAGCAGAAATTAGGGTGATGGTATTCAAACCTACAAACTCACTCAGGAAGGGACAAGCTCTGTAGGTTAAAGGACCCAGTGAACTCAATTAAACCAAATAATATAATTTACAAAATACCTTGCAATGACTGCGAGTGAGGTCAACTATATAGGTCAAACTAGTAGATCACGCGGGGGTAGTCAGATTGTCGGAACATAAGAATTTAGCTAAGGTAAGAATGGTTAGTCCCGAGAAGATAAGTAATTTAGAAAAAAGCTCACCAATCGTACTGCATACACTAACAAACAACCACACAATAAGTTGGGAGGGAGACGGTTAAAATTCTAAAAAGTAATCTAGGTAGGTGGAGAGAGAGAGAGATTGATTACTGAATCCTTCCTGGTTCATCGAGTGAATCTACACCCCAATACTTGCAACAGAAATGATTCAATGCAAATACCAGAGATATACATGGAAGATATTATTACCACCAGTCAGTCAGCCAGATCAGAGGAGGATAATAAATAATCTCAAAATTCTAATTCAATTCAATTCACGTATATCATAAAATTCGAACAAGTTACTTATTATGACTATAAAAACACTCGTCTTATTTCCCATCTGGATTGTAATTGATGAGTAACACTCGTATTATTATTTTTGAATGTACATTATCAACATTTTATTAAAATTGGTGGTTAAAAATTTTTTCCAAATGGAAAAAAAATTAATTATGAGTACTTTATCCTATATTGATTTTTATCCAAGTGTCTAATCATCAGTTTTTACTCATGTATATAAATCACGCAAGAAAGTTGTGTGAGTGAGTGACTTGATATGATTATGAGTGGCTGGCAATAGTTTGTGCTCGAAAGGTGGTCATCAGTTAATATTACTGTACAAAACTACACTGTGAGATTTATCAAAGTAATATCGTGTCTATAATGGAGTTATGCTCTGTTCTTGTTTTTTCTCATGACTCTGATTCAGGACGTGAACATTGACGTAAATTGGTGTCTACTATTTTGGCTAGCAGACAGCTCTCACCACAACAGAATGGATATTATCTAATTGAATCACTTATGAAGTATTTTCATTCAATGCCATTAAGCTACATCTGTTGTGTGGTTGGAGAAGTAGTTGGGAGGAAGTCCTCGACCTAGGTTTCGTCCTCGTTGATGACACTCTTCAGCATAATGCATCTGTAATCTTGAAAGAACTTATGTCCTCTTTGCATTTCAAACACATGTATTCCATAGTTGGTTTGTAAGGATTAGTTTTGTATTTACGAGGTGATCACGGATTGATATCAGTTAGAGAGAGAGAACCACTGGAAACCAGCACTGGAGTACTGGACAGGTGTTTCCTCCATCCTAGTTTGGGAATCGTCGTTAGTACGCACCCACCACAAGGAGTTCGAAGTTAGGGACCTCCGGTCACAAGGCAAGTTCGTATATATCATTGAGCTACTGGTGTAACAACAGAAGACAAGGGCCAGGCAACAGATCGTTTTATTATGAAAATCAACACGTATTTATACATATTTCAGACAACATTATTATAGACAAGCGCAGTCATCTGATTGGTTGTTTAGGTAGACAAACGCAGGCTTCTGATTGGTTGTTTCGGGATTCCTTGACAAACAGAGTTCTCTATCTGCGAATCATATTTTGCCACGTTAACTTCGCTGTGATTGGTTGTTGACTCAGCCTTGTTCACGGCCCATATTAGTGACCTAGACCTTAACGTAGATTAGTGCCAACCAATCGGCTAGCAGCCTGCTCTCACCACACTCGTCCCCCCGTCAAATACGTGCGACTGAAGTCGGCTTGATCTACTTGGTGCAGGCGTCATCGTTGGCTTGTCTCGCTGTATCCATTTCTGGAGCTCGCTGACGTTCACGCGCCTCTCATTGTTCGCCATTGCGACTGTGTCTGCGTAACCCCATCTCGAAGTGACCATATATGGTCCTTCCCACTTTGGAAACTGTTTGCCTGACCCTGTCGAACATTCGTCCATACTTCGGCCCACACCTTCATATGCTGCTTTCGCCCGACCTCCCAGCAGCGTCTCAAGTAGCAGCTCCATCGCTGACAGATCTTGCACGCCTTTCAACTGCGCAGAAGCCTTGAAGTCCTGCCCGAAGATCCATATGTCTCCATCAAAAACTGCAGGGTATAGGCTTTTCATTTGTCGGTAGGCAGCGACACCAAATGTAACAACAGAAGACAAGGGCCAGGCAACAGATCGTTTTATTATGAAAATCAACACGTATTTATACATATTTCAGACAACATTATTATAGACAAGCGCAGTCATCTGATTGGTTGTTTAGGTAGACAAACGCAGGCTTCTGATTGGTTGTTTCGGGATTCCTTGACAAACAGAGTTCTCTATCTGCGAATCATATTTTGCCACGTTAACTTCGCTGTGATTGGTTGTTGACTCAGCCTTGTTCACGGCCCATATTAGTGACCTAGACCTTAACGTAGATTAGTGCCAACCAATCGGCTAGCAGCCTGCTCTCACCACACTGGTACCCGACTCCTCAATGGCCAGTGCGCATGAATTCTGACTTCTAACAATTCGTGATTTAGCGCGGACTGGCACCAATCAATGTCATCGGTGGGACACATCCATCCTTCTCTATACTAATGACTGGTCTTCTTCATAAATTCAAGTAGGGTACGAAAAATAATTTCATTGTAGCTTATCAGCTTTCCACCTACTGCGTATACATTCTAAGAAGTCAGTTTGGTTAATATACCGGGAAAAAAGGATATTTAACCTATGCTAATAAATAGTTGATTGGATAATAGTCCATCAATAGAGATTGAAAAAAACATGTATTAAGAGTGTGCATCTATGCGCATTTGGTGGTTCAGTAGTAAGATGCTTCTCATGCATATGGGCTTGATTCCCTGTTGACACACTCCACAGTCTCGCCTGGTTTATCAACCGGTATTCAGGTGTAGGCAGGACGAAAAGATTGGGTGTGTGAGATTAGCTGATCCCACCCACGTAAGAAAACAACATCCTCGCTAAAGATACTTCAAACGACTAAAACTTTATGATCCATTCATCATTTGAGTATCTTTCAGGTAACGCATGCATTTTAAAATCAATCTAATGTGTACTAGTAAAGTTGTCTAGAGTTCTAGTGAGGAGTCATGGACTAGTGGAGCCCACCAAGTCATATATGTGACTTGGCACTGGCTGGTTGTGGCGTTATATCTCGCAAAGTGACACAAGTTACAGTTATTAGATAGTTGGAGGCAATCGGCCACAGGAAGCTTTTCTCTCGACGTAGGTTTTGTGCTATTTGGCACTCACCAGTCAGCAAGACATATCTGCAGTCACCTTGAAGGAACTCATATATCTCTTCTGAGATTCGAATCCGCGTCAATCAGTTCCGCCTGCAGTCATAAACGTTGCCAATGAGCTATTCGGCCTCGCAATTGACCTCCTGTAGAACTGTAGTGGGCATTTTGATTGGACACTAGTAACTAGTGTGACGTGTCTATTCATTTCTTTGGTGCAGACTGAATTCTATCAGTCAGCCTTGCTGACGAGTGCCGACTAGCACGAAACTTAGGTCGAAGGCTTCCTTTGGCCGATTGCCTCCAACTATCTAATATCATCAAATCAATGTGTGCACTGTGATGGTAAGCTACCTAGAAAGGTGGCCACATTGCAAACCCGACTGGTAGAATTCAGTCTGCACCAAAGAAAGGACTAGCCAGACACGTCACACTAGTTACTAGTGCCCAATCAAAATACAAAATTGAAGTAATGGACCATTGAATTCTGTCCCAATTAATGAATGTTCAGCAGGCTTGGGTTCGAATCTTTAGCGATAGGGTCATGGTGCGTACAGCTAAAGAATCTGAAGCCAGGAAGAAACAGTTATCCAGTACTACCTAGAAGATTTCAGTGGTTCTCAGTCCGTGATCTAAATCATAATCTGTACTCTCTGCAATGCATGTTTTTTACCCTGAAGGTTATTCATTTCCTTAAATTTTTCTTTTTTGTTTCTTCTTTTACAGTGTCCTCATTGACTTGTTCAGTTCATTTCGTACAGTGCTGGAGAAATCACGTGGATCAGAATTCTGTGATAATTTAATCTCAAGTTGTATATTTCTACGCTTAATATGTCCAGCACTACTGTCGCCATCATTATTTGGATTGATTAGTGCATTTCCTAGTGAACCAGCTTGTCAGCGTAATCTTACCCTATTGGCGAAATCTCTACAGACATTGGCTAATTTTAGTACTTTCGATGATAAAGTAAGCATTTCAGTCACTTTTCTATAATTCTTTTGGTAATAATAATGGTTATGACTGAGTGACTGGTTTCAACGCAGAACTTTGCAACGATGTGCAGCAGTCCGAGTCGTCACACTTCCTTCTTGTACCACACAAAGCAAGAGAAGAGAGTAAAGAGGGATTCAAAACAGAGATATGAGGCAAAAAGAATAATAATATGGAAGGACAATACAGTTTTAATAGATATGACTGACAAATAAGAGAGAGTTAATGCCTCTCCACCAGATATTGAGAATGATTTTGAGCCATATAACCGATTGTCTCCAGTCTTCATTGGTTCTTACCATCCAGAGGACACCAACCAGTTAGTGAGGCAGTCTACACCTCCCTACATGACTGACTGACTGGCTTAAACTAACTGTTGTGGATTTCATTAACTGATGGAGTCATGCTTTGCTTTGACCAACCCACCACTAACCCTTATTTCCTCCGGATAGGGCAAATCATGTGAGAAGAAAGAAAGAAAGAAAACGAGAGCCAATGACACATTGAATGATTCAAGCTTAAGTAAGCAAGGCTGAAGAAGATTTACCTCTATACACAGTACACCATATTCCTTGGGAGATATAATTCGTTGGCCATCCCATGAATTCTAAATTCTGCAAGTTGGCATATATAATAGCGTCAGCACTAACCAATATATACCTCTCCTCATTTCTAACTTGGCGGATCGTGCTGGTCAAAACATTTTAACTAGAATTCCAGGCAACCTCATCGTGTAGAGTCAGTCACTAGTGGGTATGATGGTAAGTGTGTACCACTGAAGAGCCCCAAGAGGTGGCTCTCGTGGCCCAAGTGGTCTAGTGGATAACGCTTTGGCGTTCAAAACTATGGGCACTGTGTTCGAGCCTCGGTGCTGGGAACATCATCACTCACTGACTGGGGAATACAGGTACATCCATCCAGCTAACTAGTCTCAAAAAGGACCAAAATGTGCGTTAACCTGGATTCCACTGGTAGTCACCATCCAACACAGAATTTCGTCCTTTAATCGTAGGTACGTAGGTAGGGATCGAAAATGTTAGGCATGTGAGAAAAAGAGATGCAGCGTAGAATGTAAGTTTGATGGCTGACCGAATAACAATAATAGTAATAATAATAATAATAATCATTTTACGAACGTGTTGATGGAATTTTAGATATATCATATATGTCCAAACCAAGTTCACTTTTAACAGTTTGAACAAATTTGGGCATTGAGTGGGTATATGATATTCATTATAATAAAGGTTTCATTTTGTATTTCCCAATGAATGAAAAACAGAACGATATTATCGTTTTTACTGACGTTTCGCTATTTAATACCGCTAATAGCTTTATCAAAGTATTATTAAACCGGAGTTTACAAAATCCACTCAGCATATATATATATAACGAAGAGTTAGGAAGTGAGAAAATAGACATAGGTCAAGTTAGAAGGACCATATTGAAAGCCAAAATAACAATGAAAATCGCCAAAACCAAATAACAGAGGTACATCTGCTATGGTATCTAAACAAAGTTTACTAACTTGATCATCGTTCCTCAGCATGGGGTAATTTTTGTGTTGTCAAATTGGCTAATTGGTAAAGATAACAAAACCAGATGGGTGTAGATTGTTGGATTCGATAGGAGTGTAAAATTGTAAAAACAGCGTGTGTTCACATAATGAAATTGCTTATCACATTCTTGTTGATTTTGTCATTTCATGGGGGGAGGTGAGGGGGTGTTGTAACCACGTCCATCGTTCCTATTCAGGCAATTTGTGATTTCTGAAATTTTTCCGGTTGATGATTTCAATATTGTCAAAATCAATTTTGTGGCCTGATTCTATAGTGTGTAGACGATCACCTATGGCTGATGATTTTGCAAGCTTTTGTAGTTCATCAACTGGATTTATTTCTCGATGGTCGAACAGAGGCGGTGACTCTACGGTGTTCATTTCTTCTGATTACCTCAAAAATAAAATGTTGAAAATGTTTTCTTTCTCTAACATTTTTGTGTTTTATTTTTCAGGAACCATATATGAGATTTTTAAACGGTTATGTTACCTCTCAATTGTCTTCCATGCGTTCATTCATTCGATCAATATCAACTTCGTTAAATAATAATAATAATAATGATCACACTATCGATAAAGTGAATGTTATTAACGGCGCTGATACTAATCTGGAAGCTACTGGTATCAGTAATGCTGTGTCTAACTCTCTGCCAGCTACAAACCCTGATCAAACGAGATCCACCCTAACTACAACACTACCAACAACAACACCAGCAAAGGCGGCAACATCACAGAATAACATTAAAGATACAATTGATGAAAATTGTGAATTAGCTAATTTGCATGTCATCCTATCAGATGTTATATTCCGTGATTCATTGACAATTCCTTCAGTGACCACTACTAATAATACTGCTCCTGCTGTGATGAATAGTAACAATGAACACAATGGTATAACAACAGATGCACAGGATGTCAATTCAAGTGGTGGTCAAGGAATAGTTTCCCCGATTTTTCTTGTAAGTTAACACCATTTTTTCTGACACATTAGCTGTAAGTGATCGAACCTGTGGAGTTTAGAAATTAATTCTAGGAAAAGCACGGTAATGCACTTAGGTCAGAAGTTCTGATACGTCGTACTCCCTAGGAGACACAGAACTACCTGATGTTAACGGACAGAAGGACCTAAGAATCATTGTCAGCAATGATTTGAAAACAACTGTGAATCACGATGCAGCCGCAGCTAAGGCTGTTCGAATGGTATGGGCACTTCGAAGGGCTTTCAAACGATTAGACAAGGGCATGTTCCAAATACTCTACGCAATATATGTCAGGCCTTATTTAGAATACTTCATACAAGCGGAGAGTCCATGCTTCAAAAAGAGGCACATATCCTGGAAAGAGTACACAGGGTAGGAACGAAATTAGTTAGTGGTACCTCACATCTTCCTTATGATTTGAGGATGGAGCATTTAAATCTATTCCCGTTATCATACCGAAGGAAGAGAAGCGATTTAATTTTAGCATACTGTATCCCTAAGAGTGATTTAGGAACTGGCCTTTATAACCTTTTCTCCCCTTCTAGGATACATTTACGGAGTCACCGCAGAAAGGTGCTCAAACCGAGGACGATTAAAATACGTGCAGATTCTCTCACAGAGTGGTCAACAACTGGAACGCCTTACCTGATTCAGTAGTATCAGCTCCATCGGTGAACGCTTTCAAAGAGAAGTTAGATCTCTACAGAGATATGTTTTGTAAGGATTAACGCAAGAGCCACAAGAGCCTTCTATCCTTATCATCTCAACCTGAATCTGGAGCATATATTAAGAGCGATATGATTCAATTCCAATGTTGATACTTCTTTATCGAAAACTCATTCATGTAATATATGCGTGTAACGACAGAAGACAAGAGCCAGGCCAAACAGATCGTTTATTGAGAAAATCAACAGATATTTATAGATTTTCATGTACATTATTGTTGGCTGAGAAGTAACGTCTCCTGATTGGCTGTTCTTTTGCTAAAGGTTATTTTGTCACCTCTTTGTGATTGCGTTTCTCAGAAAGTTAGGCCATATATCTGTGAATCATATTCCCACACGTTAACTCCTCTGTGATTGGCTAGTGATTTTATCAAGGTTACGCTTTGTTGTTTGTTTTTCTTATGACCTTGATTCGGGACGTGCACAATGACGTAACTTGTTGTCTACAATTTCGGTCACAGACAGCTGTCACCACATGTGTACTTCCTAGAGGTGACAGTCTTTTCATTCTTTTCGTATTCTTGACTTACACCGGAACCAGTTTGGATGAAGACAATTTTGCGCTTTGTCAAAAAGCTGTTTCATTTGTTACTCTAAAAGTAAGACGCTATAATGCGATCATCTTATCAAATGATCTCAATGTTTAAACAGGGAAGTATATCGCTTACACCCTAGTGGAGTGCCATGCGGACAAACCGACAGCGGTGGGTCATCCTTTACAATTCTGTTCAAATAATCATCCATTTTCTGGTTAGCAGGTGGTTTGAAGTATAAGGAGAGACACTAGACTTCGCCTCCCCTACAACATTTAAATCCATGTTGAGCATAAATAAAATGGGAAGGGTCGGTAGAAGATTGCTGCTACTTCTGGAACAGCTGTGTAAACTCCTATCACTCATTAATCCGTGAACGTATATACCTTCGACTGAATGGGCATAGAAAGCAGGCTGCAATGCCTGAGACTACGCCTTTAACTTTATGAGAACATGAAGTCTTCATATATAAATAATTATTATTATTATTTCCTTGAGTTCCGAGTGGAACATAGGGCTGGCCTCAACAACACATCTCCACTTTGTTCTGTTTTCTTCTGATGTCCTCTTCAGTTGGGTTCACGTTTCACCAGACTCTCATCTCTTCCTCCTCCTCCTCCTCAAACTATGTCCTCCATGTCACCTTCGCATTGAGGATCCACACGTCGCTTCCTATTTGAACTTCACTCGACGGCCTGACGTGGGATGTCATTCGAAGGCCTCCTCAATGTATGCCCGATCAACCCATCACTACTTCCTGCTACATGTTTGTTGACCGATCAGCTCTTACCTGTTGGTTTCTTCCCATTATTATTATTATTATTATTGTATCCTTTAGTTCCTGGAGGAACATAGGGCTTCAGCTGCGCACCTCCATTGCCTTCGGTTTCCTGACAACTTTTTCACCCTGCTCCAGGTCTGTCCACATGCTTTCATCTCCTCCTCGCATGACCTCCTCCAAGTCACCCTTGGACGACCGACTCGACGCCTCCCTTTCGGGTTCCACTCGAGCAATGGCTTGTCTAGTGATGTCACTTGATGGTTTCCTCAGCGTATGGCCAATCCATCTCCATTTCTTCCTGCCTATTTGTTTCACAATCGGTTCCCATAGTTTCTTGTTACTAATTCTTTCTGGCCTTATGATCTTCAGTATGTGGAGCCAGAGAATTGGGCAGCTGTTGATGAAAGTCTACAACCTGTTAGTAATCCGTTTCGCGACACACTCGCAGTGCAAGTTGCTGACCCGTATAGAAGAACCGACTTGACATTGGTGTTGAAAATTCGAATCTTGTTCATGCAAACATTCTCTCAACACTATCGAATTTCCCATTTATACTATTCAGACTTATTAGTAGTTATCTTATCTCTTTTCTCAATATATGCCTTCCTCCACCTGTTTCTTCATTTCACGCATTCGTTATTTCATTATGAACCTCTCTCATTGCCGTCTTACTGTCTCCTCTTTAATATATACCACTTTGTACTAGCCACCCACCACTCACCTGACACCTTTTATAACATTCAAGTATTGGTTTTATAAAGATTTTGTTTGATTGCATGGAGGATTTCATCTACGAGCTCGCCTTGTAACCAGAAGGTCCTGGGTTCGAATCCCCGGTGGGTGCGTACTGATGAAGAGTCCTAAACTAGGACGAGGGAAACAGCAGTCCAGTACTCCGTGGCAGGTTTTCCAGTGGTTCTCTGCCCACTAATGTCAGCTCATGATAAAATCCTCCATGCCAACCTTTTATAACCTTGAACTGACTTACTTGTTAATTTTCCTACCCCACATTCTACAAATCTATTATGACGACTAATCACCACCACCACCATTGTCTCCCACGTCTGTCACACAAATACGACTATTTATTTATTTTGACACCCCATATAACTGCTAATCTGTTATTCTACGCGAAAAAAATGTATCCGCCGCATAACTAACTAACTGGCTATCATTATTGTAACGACAACAATAAATACATTCTATTTTACAATTGAACGAACCTTAAGAGGCGAAATTATTATTAATGGGAATATTCTTCGTTCATTCAGATTGACTTTTAATTCATGTGATCTGGGGATATTTCACACTTCTCTAAGATTTATTTTTTGTCTGTATTTATGCCTGATAGTGTGTTTACATGTGTGTGCGTGCGCGCGCGCGCATAAACAGTCAAACTGGACTGTAGTTACCTATAATCGATAAAGTATGGGGTGGGTGGGGGATTTATTATGGACAAAACATTTGGTCTAAATATAAATTCATTGATTGATAGACACAGACTATCCACGTCTGAATAATGAATGAATGGGCAGAAATTCTAACCTTGTATATTTGTTGTGCCTAGTCAAACAACATTTATTATTGATCTGTTTGAAATAAATTCTTAATTTAAGGCGTGTAATAAATATTTTAGTTTGATCAATGTGTGTGTGTGTGTGACTGTATACAATAAGGTAGGTAGTTTATGTTGATATCATTGATCGAGCGATTTACAACTGACGGCTCTGTTCATCATTCTATGAAAATTGATGATACAGCTAGTCTGTTATATGTCGACTGGTCTAAATAAAAAAGAGGGAATGAATGTGGGTACATTTAGAAGTTAATTGTTGAATGATGACTAGCAGTGGAATCCACCAGGATAACACACATTTCGTCCTATTTAGGACTCGTCAGGTTGATGGATGCACCTGGATTCCCATCACCGAGGCTCGAACCCAGTGCCCATAGTTGCAAACACCCAGGACGAAATGTGCGTTAACTTGGATTCCACTGCTAGCCACCATCCACCAATTAACTTCTAATTACATGCCTAGACATCGTAAAAGCATCTGGATAAGAAGCCGACATATGCTGATATTAGATAGTTGGAGGAGATCGGCCACAGGAAGCCTTGGACCTAGGTTTCATGCTAGTTGGCACCCACCAGTCACCAAGGCGTATCTGCAACCGTGAAGAAATTCTTGTCCATTCTGAGATTCAAACCCGCATCACCCAGTGCTGCCTGAAGTCAGAGACGTTACCTTTGAGCTATTCAGGCTTACCGTCCAATCGAAATACCCACTACAGTCCTACAATAGGTCAATTGTGAGTAAGAATAGCTCAGTAGTAACGTTTCTGACTTCAGGCGGCACTGGGTGACGCGGGTTCGAATTTCAAAAGGTACATGAGTTCCTTCAAGGTTGCAGATACGTGTCTGCCTTACTGACTGTTGGGTGCCAACTAGCACGAAATCTATGTCAAGAGCATATAGTGAGTGGCATAGCTGAAATATTCTCGAGATTTCTCATCTTATTCGGGTCAACTAACCTAGATTTTGCTGGTAGGCTTTTATGTTCGGCTAGTCTGACTGACTGACCCTGTTCTACTACTTTCATCTATGTATTTGACCCGACAATCATTGCAGGCAGGGTATTAGATAAGCTAAATTGTTTTGTTTGATGGGCCGCTGCACAGGATCCACCATTTAACCGACAAAGCTTGTTTCTTGTTGAGTTTGTTGGTTTGAATGCTATCCACTTTTATTCCTGCCTTGTTAAGAATTCTGCGTAAAGTGGTTTCCGGGGTTCCTTCCTTGTATGATATTTCTACCGATGATTTAGATTCCTTATTGTTGGTGTTGTCTTGCACATATTTGACGTGCTTATCGTCATTAATATTATTATTATTATCACTGTCACTACTATCATTATTTATTCTATTTTTACATTTTCCTACATATTTCTTGACTTATTTATCCGGGTAATTATTAAGTTTCAAAGCTTTTCTTATACGTCTCACTTCCTGTCTTAGATTTTCCTTGGTACTACTTAGTTTTTGTGCTCTATTACATAAACATTTCACCAATCCTTTTTTTACTGACATAGAATGGGATGATTGGAAGTCCAAATATCTGTTTGAATGTATGTGGGTTTCCTGTAAACACACCGGTGTGTTTAACTTCCCATCTTCTCTCCTTTTTACTCTACAGTCTAACATTGGAAGTTCCCCTTCCTGACTTTTCAATTCATAAATGAATTGAATCGCCTCCACCTTTGAGTTAATGTGTAACTGATTTGATTTTAGTTTACTGAACTAATCTGAGTTGTAATAAAATTTAGATCGACGTTAGCGTGGAGTCACCGACAGACAGGGAGAGAGAGATAGAGAGTTAACTTTGTCCCGCCCTAGTTCGAATATTTGCTTGTGTATGATCTACTCACTGTTATTGTATTTTGTTTGTTTTTCATTCTTTTTTTCCCCCAAGAAACCTGTTTGCCCTACGATTGTAACCAGTTTACCAGAAGAATTATGCTCTCTACCAAGGATATTGGATGATATTTCACGGGCTTTACAACAGATCACATCCAATGAATGTAAACAATATGAGAAAACATCAGTCAATCACACAAACACAATTGTGAATAATAACCATTACAATTTATCACATCATCATCATCATCAAAAGGGAGGTGGTAGTGTTATACAGTCAAATGTTTCACCCTCTTCATCGAATCCAAGGCATAAGAGTAAAAGGCTTAATAATGACAGAGAACAATCCCTCAGTCCAATTCATCACACTCATCATTCTCATCAATATACATCAACTGGTGGTGGTAATACACCATACTATACTGTGCATTATAATCCAGGATTTCATAATCCTGATAGCTGTTGTAATAAAGCTGGACTGAACCATAACGCCAATAACACCAGCAGCACCATGAACAACAATAACAACACCAACAACAACACTGGCTTACTTTTACCACAATTAAAACAGTCAGCCTCATTGACTGGCCTCCCATCGGATGTATCACAATCAAATCCAAATGATTATGATGAACCGTATATTAGTCCTGAAAGTGATTGTGATATGCATGAAACTGGTGGTGTCAACTCTGATCATGAAGTAAGTAGGAGTAAGAAGGCACAAACACTAAGTATTACATCGGTAAGTGTGTGAATTTTGATTGTCTCGCTTCTTGTTCATGTAATTATATTGCGTGTTTTTTTTTATTAATAATTTATTTTGTTTCTTGGGGTTCCGAGTGGTGGAATTATACTTCAGTGCATCCTGTTCTCTAGTGTTATTTCAATCTAGCTGTGAGACATGTGTTATGCATACATGACATGACTGACTAGCCATCAATCGCCTTCCTCGACTGATGGGCAATGTTAGCTGACTGACATAGGATGAATCAGGTTGGAAAAGAGTTAGCCAGTGTGTGGTGGTCAAATCAAAACATGGCTTCATCAGTCAGTGAAATCCACAACAGTTAGTTTAAGCCAGCCAGACAGTCACGTAGGGAGGGCGAGGTGTAGACTGCCTGACTGCCTGGTTAGGGTCCTTGTGACTTAGAATTTCCAATGAAACTATGTTGTTCTTCTTCGATATTACTATTATTGTTGTTGTCTCATATTTGTGTTTATTATCTCTATTTTGAATCTCTGTTCACTCTCTTCTCTTGCTTTGTGTGCTGAGTGAAGTGTGACCAGTCAGTCAGTCAGTCAGTCAGTCAGTCAGTCAGTAGTCTACACCTCCCTCCCTACGCGACTGTCTGGCTGGCTGGCTTAAACTAACTGTCGTACATTTCATTGACTGATGAAGCCATGTTTTGGTTTGACCACCATCCCACCACTGACTCTTTTCTAACCTGATCTATCCTATGTCAGTTAACATTTTATCTGACCGTCGATGAAGGTGATGGCTAGGCATGCATGCGTAACACATGTCTTAACCATCTCTGAATCGACGTCACTTCACAACCTTCTTGATTGATTTCCCCTCTGACTCTCATAGCAGTCCACGCCTAACCTCAATATTACTCATACTACTTAACATGTGAGATAGAACACAGACACTTATGATCAAAGACAGATAGCCTACCTTTGCAATTAATAGTGTTCTCTGAGCTGGTTGGTTAGTTTAGTTGCGGAGCTTTCGTTGTCTTTCTGGACGACATCTTCAGCGCAGTATTTAGCATAAATTGAAATGATTTAAATTTTTCATGGTGATAGAATTGCGTCTCCCGGTAACCATCTTTACATATGTATTGACAGTTTTCTATTGCCTTGGAATTTAAACTTTCTGGTCACACGATTTACTTTTTATTAGTTGGTATATTTGGTCTATATTAACGTCTTTGTTAATTGCATATTCATTTGAGTACCAGGCTTCTAGGAATTCCCTGGCGGCACTTTTGGTGTTTCCTCTGTCTAAGATTTTGACATTATCCCAATCAAATTGATGTCCATAATTGTCTATGTGCATTGATATGAAACAGGAATATATATTGTATCTTTTCACGGCTTATTTGTGTTCCTGGATTCTGATTCGAAAGGGATGCCAACTTTGGCCTATGTAATGCGTGTTACAGTTCATACAATTTATTTTGTAAATGGTGTTAATCTGATCTCCTTTTTCTGTTGGATCTTTCAGTTTGCATAATATTGAATTAAGCGATTGGACTGGTTGACTTGTGTGCTAAAATCTGTATCAAACAGTTTCAATAGTCTAGCTTTTATTTCAGAGACATTTCTCATATATCGTAGGATGAATTGCTTTTTTGGTCTTTGATGATGGTTCTTTGTTGGTGCTGTGATTCGACTTTAAACAACTTTTTGATGAAATTTTGTGGATAACCCCATTCCTCTTGAAGAACCTTTTGCAAGTATTTTTCTTCGAAATCATCCACCTCAATTACAAATCTTCTCTATTATTTCAGGATAGCCTACTGCTGAGTGAGTTATTAGAGTTTTCCCCGTCGACAGTGATGCTATGTACTCGTCGAGTGGCTAACAGAGTTGACGCGGAAAGAGGGAAATCAGAAGACCACCTCATTCACGATGATACTTGTATTTCCCGAAACAAGGAAAAAAAATGTCACACAAGTGTGTGAGTGAAATGGTACGTAGTGTACGAAACGTGGGAACAAGAATAACTAAAAGTGTACAAAACAAGAGTATATATGAAAATGGCTAATGTACATGAACCAATAGACAGACAGTCTTAACACGGTTGGTTGTAATGTCATGTGATAATAAGGTCATACATGTTTATTTAGTTAGTGGACAGACAAAAGCATATTGTCAGTTATAATAGAATATCGATTCATATACACATAGCAAAATATAATAGACTGTCAAAAACAAAAGACGCACACACATCATGTGGATACATATCACCTACCTATTCATGTCTTCTACTTTCAATGGGTGTCATTTCTCATTCGCAGTCATAAAGGAGGATGAAACAAACTGCTGCGCCGCTACCCTACGTTGCGCATCACAGTGCAGTGCAGTGCAGTACATATGTCTTTTAATCGACAGCTAAACGGATATCATCACATCTACTAAGTCGGAGATGGCGTAAGTTATCTGACGAATACCGAACAAACCTCTCTCTCTCTCTGTATATATCCTTGCTTGACAATTCATCAGCCATCAGAAATCAGAATGCAAATAATCAATCTTGATTAACGGATTACTACTACTACTACTACTACTACTACCACCTTCTTTCTGTGTTTTGATAAACAATCGTTTATTATTATTAGACCTTTTTTTCGCTTCACTGTTCCCCTTTGTCTGAAATGAATTTAAACGCTGAATAGAAAGAGAAGCAAAATAAAGAGGCCTGATGGCAAGCGAATGACGTTTGCTCTTTCTATCTCCGTCTCTCTCTCTCTCGTTTCTTCTCATTTTTTTTGTTTTCAACTCTACCATATCATAGATTTCATGTCACATTTATCAGGCACACAAACACACACACACACACTCAGACTCATCTTCATGACGAGGAGGAGGAGGATGAGGATGAGGAGTAGGAGGCTTGATGAATATGCGTTTTAGTCTAATGCTGCTTAGATAATGTATGTGTATGTATGTATGTATACGGCGTTTCTTCTTTGCTGATTTTTATTATTTTGAAAGATGAAACCAGTTTTGAATGTCATTGAAGAGAAATCTTTTGTTTGTTTGTTTGCTTTTCCTCCCTCTCCACCCTCCATCTGTGTCTGTCTGCTAAGATATCGTGTGTTTTTTGTCTGTTGTTGAAATCACATGTGATGATGATGATGATGAGGAGGAGGAGGAGGAGAAGGAGGAACATCTCATTGATTTTTAGATATTTTCACAAATTGCTACAATCATCGGTTGTATCATGTATTATTGTTTTTATGAGTTGATCACGGGTCGATATCACAGTTTTAGAGAGAACCATTGAAAACCAGCCAGGAGGGAGTACTGGACGACAGCCAGCTGTTTCCTCCATTCTAGTTTCTCTCGGAATCATCATCGGCAGTACGCGGACGCCACTGCTAGGGTTCGAACCCAGGACCGTCCGGTTACAAGAGAAGCTAGCCACTGTGATATGTATTCACATGATGTGTGTGTGTTTTGTTTTTGACAGTCTATTATATTTTGCTATGTGTATATGAATCGATATTCTATTATAACTGACAATATGCTTTTGTCTGTCCATTAACTAAATAAACAATGTATGACATTTTTGTCACATGACATTACAACCAATCATAGTAAGACTGTCTGTCTATTGGTTCATGTATATTAGTTGCTTTCATACATACTTTTGCATTGTACACTTGTTCATACTTGTTCACACAACTCGTACACTACGTACCATTTCACTCACACACTTATGTGACATTTATTTTCCTTGTTTCGGGAAATACAAGTATCATCGTGAATGAGGTGGTCTTCTGATTTCCCTCTTTCCGCGTCAGGACTATTAACTACTCGACGAGTACTTAACACTATTCTTCGTCCCTCACTCACACTTCTGTTTATTATCTATCTGTCTTTTGTACATCGGTCTACTCTCCCCTCTCGCTTTGTGTGTTACATGGAGTGGAGTCTGGCAACTGGAACTGGTTCACATCTGTGCAAAGTTCTACTTTGAAACCAGTCAGTCAGTCAGACAATGTATGTATAAAACAAAGAATTTGTTATCGCTACTATCTTTCTTTTGGAGGGGGGGGGGAGTTGGGTTCGGTGGAAGGGATGATTTATATATTTTACGCAGAGTTTATGATTTGTTTTTATGCGTATTTATATATGTTTTTTTTGGGTTTTTACGAGTTGATCATGGATTGATATCAGAGTTAGAGAAACATTGAAAACCAGCACTGGAGTACTGCTAGTTTGGGAATCATCATCGTCAGTACGCACTCACTGCCAGGGTTTGCACTAAATCATGAATAGTTAGAAGTTAGAATTCATGGACTGGCCATTAAGTCGGGTGGGTGGGTCCCAGTGGTTGAATGGTATAAGTGCTTGCTTGTTGACTTTGTAACTGGAAGGTCTTGGGTCCAAACCCCGGCACTGTGGTGGGTGTGTACTCCCGATGATTCCCAGACTAGGATGTAGGAAACAGCTGGCTGTCCAGTATTCCAGTGCTTGTTTTCAGTGGTCCTCTAACTGATATGAGATATGTGATCGACTCGTAAAAACAAAAGTAATCCTTAAAAACAAACTATAGAGAGGAATACATATATATATATATTCTTTTTGTTTTTCTGTTTTTTTATCTTTGCCGAAAAACAACTAGGCTTTCCAGTCATACTCCTCGTCATTATCGATCGCAAACAACAACAGTAGTCTGATAACAAACTACAACACCAACAACAAGACGAATAGCTATTCACCAAATGATAAGAAGAACATCTATGATCATAAAGCAATAAGTTTGGATAAATTAAATAATTCTGATACAGAACATATTTATGATATGGTACCATTATCTTCATCGTCGTCGTCGTCGGCATCATCGTCACCCTCGGTATCTCCATCACGTGAAGCAATACACCACATGATGAATGGAGTCACTGTGGCGAATGATTCATATATTCACCAATCAGATCAAGTAAGTATGGTATTGTATTATGATAATTATGATTATTCCCCTGGAATGTGAAGAGAATATGGCACTCTAGTAGCAGTGGTAAATCATCTCCATGTGATTGTGTTCGCTGCAGCTACAACGGCTGATAAGTCTTCATCTCTCCCTCCTCCCCCCATCTCCCATATAATCACCCTCGGAGAAATGCTCAACTCATCAGTTCCTATTTGAGCGCCACTTGACCACCTAGCTGTGGTACGTGATGTAATTCAGTAGTCTTTTCAGTGTATGTTCAGTCCATCTCCGTTTTTTTCTGGGCGTTAGCTATTCTTTTTTTTTGTCTTGTCGCTAGAGTTCCTTGTCGGTTGTATTCTTCCCAGACGGTCATCTGATCTGCAGGTATCGGTGAAAGTCTGCAGTAACCCGTTGGAAATACTTTTGTGACACTCACTCCCATCGTCTCAATCATGTGGAAAGCATTGACTTGCAGTTGGTATTAAAAATTCTAATCTTGTTCTCTACCTATTCTGGGTATTCCTGACCGATAGCTGCTAACTTGACGTGGTGATCTCGGCCTTGCACAACTCAATGACCCAAAGAGCTACACTACACTATTTTTCCTACAGGTCCTACCATACCAGGAAGGTTGTAAAGATAGCGAGATTAGACTGAAAGCAGTTACCGGCATAATATAGGAATTTTTACTTTTTTTTACACTATGTTAGGGATCTGTGGGTGAAGTCGTGCTGATGTGGGACAGAGACGTAACAGCAGTGAGGTGTTTCCTTGAGATGACAAGCATGCCAGCCAGCTATGCTGTGTCTCCACTCCGGAGAGAGAGAGAGAGACGGGGTTATAAAACGTCGACCCCAACAATTGTACATCTCGAATTACCCTACGGTGGTCCGTAACCGGTGGTAAGTTTACTAATACGGAACCAAACCAAGAAACCAGTTCATTCAGGTTGTGTGTGACCGGCTGGCTGCAAGCAGTTGTCCCCTGGGTTCTGCAGTCACGCAACACTAACCCTCTTTCTGGTTTCACGTACCCGAAGAATCAACCAACTTCCACGTTGTGGGTAGCCTGGAAGTAACAACCGGCGTCACACTTCCAAGAGCACACGAAACCTCCCCGAGCATCATTCTTCTCTGGGTATTGTTGCTCTTCACAGTGATTTTTAAAGTAATGAGAAACCTGTCCTGTTTTCTTTTTTGATGTTGCCTAGCTTCGATATCTTCATCTATGTTACCTGTAGCTGAGATAATACTGGCCGCCAGATAGATGGCTATGTAGAAAGGGACTACCTTCTGTAGATTTCTTCCGTTCATGATGATTGGTGCTTGTTGTTGTTGTCGGTGGTGGTGGTGGTTGGGTATCTTTATTGTCTCTGTCTAATCAATTGTTCACTTAAAGTTCTGTCTTCACTGCTTCTACTGCCAACTTTTTCTGTTTTCACCTGTACATCTTCGTGTGTGTGTGTGTGTGTGTGTGTGTGTGTGTGTGTGTGTGTGTGTGTGTGTGTGCGTCATTAGACACAAACCATCCAGATCTTTCTGTATCTTTTGCCTGTCCAGTCTATTTTCATCTTTTCGTACGTTACAGTCTGTTGCCTAATACAGTCATCCACAATGAGAAATATCATTGGTGATAGTAGACAACCTTGTCCTACGCCTATTTCACCTTCCAAGGCTCCAGTAAGCTTTCTTTTGTGAATCACTTGACATGTGAAGTACAGCATAGCGTGGATATCCATTTGATGAAAGCCCTATTGTCAGTCATTAATGAGACTTCTTGGGATTGTGGATCAACTTGGACTTGGTTTATTGATCGGTAAGTAGTGTATATGAGGATACAGAGAGGTCTAGTTTCGCATATGCCAGTTTACGCCGTCTTTGGCGTAGACGTGATATCCGTCTGGTTGTTGACCAAAGGGCGGCGGGTGTACTGCTCAGCAGTCCGCTCCGTCCCCCTGTATGGCTGTGATACCTGGCCATTGAAAGTGGGAGACATGAAAAGATTAGCTGTCTTTGATCATAGGTGCCTATCTCCCATGTGAAGTGATATAATAAGGTGAACAATATTGAGGTTAGGCATCAGTGGTCGAGTGCTAGGTAAGGAGGGAAATCAATCGATAAGGCTGTGAAACTACATTGACTGAGATGGTCAGGACATGTGTTATGCATGCCTAGTCATTGCCTCCATCGATGGGCAATGTTAGCTGATATATAGGGTCAGACTGAAAAAGAGCCAGCAGTGGTCAAACCAAAACAATGCTTCATCAGTCAATGAAATCTACAAAAGTTTAAGCCAGCTAGCTAGTCACGTGAGGATGTGTAGACTGCCTTCCTGGTTTGGCTCCTTCCGGACAGTAAAAACCAATGGTTGGAAACAATTGGTGATATGGCTGAAAATCGTTCTCAATGGCTGGAGTAGATGCATCCAATCCTTATGACTTATGATTTCCAATGAAACTATATTGTTCTTCGTTTTTACTATTCCTTTGTCTCACACCTCTGTTTACTGTCTCTATATTATGCATTTCTTCTACTTTCTTCTCTTGTTTTATGTGTTACAAGGAGGGAGTGTGGTGACTTGAACTTCCGCACATGTGTGCAAAGTTGTTCTATGTCGAAAACATACAGTATTTGTGGAACGTGTTTATGTTAACGATGGTTAAAGGATAAGTTAATAGAGAAGATTTGTAGCTCATATGGAGGATTTAGAATTAGTTGCGTTCTCTGAGTTAGCTGGATGGATGGTATTTTTGCGAAGCTTTTGTCGTCCTCCTGGACAACATTTTCAATGCAAGTTTTTCGCATAAAATAAACTGGAATTTGATTGGTGGATGGTGACTAGCAGTGGAATCCACCAGGATAATGCGCATTTCGTCGTATCTGGGACTCGTCAGGTGGATGTATGGACCTGCATTCCCCAGTGAGTGATGATGTTCCCACCACCGAGGCTCGAATCCAGTGACCATAGTTTCAAACGCCAAAACGTTATCCACTAGACCACTTGGGCCGCGAGAGCCACCTCATTCTTGTACAACGGGTCACACTAGCTATTTAACTGAATTTTTAGGATGAAATGCGCATCCTGGATTCCACTGGTAGTCACCATCCACTAATGAACTTGTAATTACATGTTCAGATATCGTCGAAGCATCTGCACAAGAAGCCGACAGACATGTCAACCTGAGACCGAGCACTTCGGTCCAGTTCAATCAATCGACGGGAAAATCTTAAATTCGATCATATAAAATGAACTGCTTTGAATTCTTCATGATTGATAGAATTCTGTTTCCTGGCAACCATCTTCATCCCTTTCGAATCCGAATTCAGGAACACAAATCAGCTGTGATGAACAGACACGATTTATATATATATATATATTCTTTCATATCAATGCATGTAGATAGTTATGGACATCAATTTGATGATTGGGATAATGTCGGAGTTTTAAATAGAGGAAACAACATAAATATGCAGTCAGGGAATTCCTAGAAGCCAAGTCTGCTACTCAAGTGAATCAGCCGGCGCATATACAAACCCACATAACCAGAAACCAAATTTACCAACTAATAAGAAGTAAATCACACGACAATAATATCAAAATTGCAAGTCAATAAAAAATTAATCAGTACAGAAATGAATTGACTACTAGTCACGAAGATGGTTCCCAGGAGGCGAAATTCAGTTCATTTTATGCAAAGACTTCCTTCGAAGATGTTTTCCAGTCGGACCAGCTTAGAGAACACAACTAATTCCATAGGATACGTTAGTCAGAGAAGAACTGATTTGATTTTGATTATAGCTTGATTCCACTCAGTACTTTTTGGTAGAGGTATGGAATTTTCAACATGTGATATCGGTAGCCCAAATTTTATAGGTCGACCATTGATATCGGGTGTGCGTCGGCAGAGGTTTGAACCCGGACGATGTGCATGGTAGGCGAGAGTCTTAACCGCTGTACAACCGACGCAGAATATTCAACCTACAAGTGAAACATCAATCTTGTACACCACTAATGGTGTATATCAAGAAATGTTAAATCCTTACCGTTTTCCTAACTGAAATTAGTTCCTGATCTAATTTGCAGTAAATAATTACTGCGAACTGTACAACTGTACGGTAGAAAATATACACATTCGAAAGTAGCCAGTTAGCAACTATTTCTACTTTTCTACTAACTATCGATTATTACACAGCAGTTTCGATTCGTTTCGGTCAAAATGAGAGATGACATTTTCCAACTGTCGTATATTATTATCATTATTATTATTGTTTCCTTTAGTTCCCGGAGAAACACAGGGCTTCAGGCCAACGTCTCCATCGAGTTCGGTTCTCAAACAACGTTTCCACCTGGCTCCACGTCTGCCCACATGCTTTCATCTCCTCTTCACATCACCTCCTCCACTCCATGTCACACTCACACTGACGACCAACTCTCCGCTTCCAGTTCGGGTTCCATTCGAGAGCCAGTCGTGTGATGTCACTCAATTGTTGGTTTGTTCTCTTAGAGTATGGTCAATCCACCCCAAACTCCATTTCTTCCTTCACATTTGTTGCACAATTGGTTCCTACTTGGTTGGTTCATTTATTGCCAGAGATCCCTTCCTATTGTTGATCTTTTGTGGCCGGCCAACTCATCTTGAGTAGTATTGAGCGAAGAGATATGTTGATGAAGGTATGTAGTTTGTTTGAAGTGCCCTTCGTGACGCGGCGCCATGTCTCTGATCCGTACAGTAGGTACCACTGACTTGACATTGGAGTTGAAAATTTGGGTCTTATTTTTCATGGTTGGGTGGTGCTGTTGATCTCCACACAGACTTGAGAGTGATAAGCGCTTGCCTTGATTTCCCAATCCTCTTCTTAATATCCTCATCAGTTCAGTCCGCCTGTAGTTGAGACGATGCTTTCCAGGTAGGTGGGTAGGTGGATAAAGGAGGTTGCTTTTTTCACATTTCTCCCATTTATGCTGATTGTTGTCTGTTGTTGTTGTTGGTGGTGGTGGTGTTGCCCAGGAATCTTCATCACCTCTGTTTTCTTTATGTTCACCTGAAGTCCCATCTTCTCTGGATGCTTCTTCTGCCAACTTGTTTCTTTTCACTTGCATATCTTCCCGTTTGTGTGAAATCAGCCATATATATATATCGCATCAGCAAAGTCCAGATCTACCAAGTATTTTGTATAGGTCCATTTTATGCCTGTCTCCTCGTTACCGCAATCAGGAAAATCATTCGAGATAGTAGGCAGCCAGTCGGCCAGCCATCCAGCTTGTCTTACTCTCGTCTTCACTTCTTCAAAGAATTCCATGAATTTTCGCATTGTGGATTAATTGGCATGCAGTATTGTCGTACAACTGTTGGATGAGATGTATAATTGTTTTCGTATAACCATATATATATATAAAGCCTACCAAATAAACCTCTCCTTATGTTTACTTGTTTGCTAGTTTTCTCCTACACACGCGTATCACAGTCGTGCACACTCCCTCTTTGTTTATCCTCTTCTTTTTTTTGTCTATTGGCTTCCCCCGGTTTCATTTTCATTTCTTGTCACCATCTGTTGTAATCGCTTCCTTGGTAAGCCAAGGTGGGCGAAGTATTGTGTTTACTCTTATTTTTCCCCCTTTTTTTTTAACTTTATCGATTATTTCGTATTTCCAATTTGTTATTGAATGAACATATGTGTGCATACTGTCGGTGAATCACACATATCGGTCAGCTGAAATAAACAATGTTTATGTTTGTCTACTCCCTAGGTGTGTAATGTATGTTGACTGAATGAAATCTATCGACGATTAGATCAAATATGGCTGCATTAAGCTAAGTAGTAGTGATATGATATTTGTTTTTGAAGTGTGTTGGTTTTGTGTAAAGATTTGATCAGTTTCAAGTGTTGAACTATTGCAAAAACCTACCAGGGAGTAGTTCCTGGATAGCTTAAAAAGGTTAAAATCCATAAATTGGTCATTGGATTCTGTTCCAGTGACCGGAGTCAACACGGTCAACAGGTTCGCTTTATAACTTGGTTTCAGTTGTTAGCAGCGCAGTCATGAGTGGCTGACAAATAAGGACGAAACAAATGGTTTTTTAGCTAGTACTGTAACGTTAGAAGACGAGAGACTTGGTTAACTAGTGCTTATTTGGAATGCAGTATCTCTCTATATATATAGTGAAATTATGTACACCTTATTTTCAACGCACCATTTGCACAGATCACCTTCCGTGTTGTGCTACTTCTGGCCTTGCTTCGCATTGTGTTTCTTTCACGTCTTCACAACTCTGTAACATTTGCTTTCTCTGATATCAAACGTGTAACGACAGAAGACAAAGGTCAGGCAACAGATCCTCCATTCAGAAAATCAACAGATATTTATAGGTTTTTGATATGTATCCACATATATATATTTATGTGTGTGTGTGTGCATGTTGGTCTCTCTTTCTGTTTGCTCGCTTAGTCTGTGACCATTTCACTTGTGTGAACTTGTCTCCTTTAATAATGTATATTCTCCTTATATTATATTATATATAATATGAGTGTTTGTTGACATGTCTGCTATATTCGCTATGTATAATTGGATCGACACTCCATTATAATTAGCCATTCATGTTAAGACTGTCTAATGATTTTTCCCACGCTTGTCTGAATTATTTATATATATTCGCATTCACAATTTGTGTGAACTACTTTACAACTACTTGACTTGCTTACCACTTTGGTGTGAGACCATTTATTTTCGTCTCCTTGTGTTTGGACAATAGAAGTATCATCGCAAACCTAGTGGTCTTCTGATTTCCGCCTTCTCGCGTCAGGACTATTAGTTTCTCGACCAGACCATAATAACAATTTAGCGACGAGTACATAACAGTTTTCATGTCCATTATTATTAGCGTTAGTGTTAGCAGAGAAAAAAAGTCTTCTGATTGGTTGTTTTCCTGCTGCTCAAGGTTATTCTGTACTGCTTGTGACGACCGTTGCTTACAAAGTTAAGGCATATATCGGCGAATCACATTTGCACATGTTAAGTCTTCTGTGATTGGTTGTTGATTTCCTCAAGGTTAGGCTTCGAAAACAGCTCTCACCACAAATGTGTATCTCCTTGCTATTTGATGTTTCTAATGCCAATGAACGTCTGTTTATATACTACTGGTAATTCTTATCACTAGTGCATGTCACAACACTTCATAACCAGAAGTAATAATATACTTTAGAATTGAGCTGCTGACTGTCCTACATTGTCCTTTTGATGACCGATCTGGTAAGTGTTCATGGACGCCTCTCTAGACAATTTTCCTGCTGGTACTACCTATGTACCTAAACTCCACAGGACCATGTGAATTGTTACAACGCAAACTGAAGTTGCCAACATTGGGATCTTGTCTTCTGACATCTGGATGAGTAAGAGCAAGTCTGTAGATAAGGCGAGACATAGAGATGCATCAAACAACAGCGCTCATGACAGATAGCTTCGATTTAAAACTCACAATTAGTTGCGTCGGTGGCACAGTGGTTAGGACTCTCGCCGACCATGCACATTGTCCGAGGTTCGATCCCCTGCCGACGAAGCACACCTGATATCTATGGTTGGCCTGTAAAATTTGGGCTACTGATATCCATCCTGAAAATTCCATACTTGTACCAAAAATACAGTGTGGAATCAAGCTGTAATAAAAAATTTTAAAAAAATTTAAATTACTTCTTCGATACATCCAAGTTTCGAGGAATTATCAATCTTTCTCTTTAGATGTTTATTGATCAAGGGGTTATTCTGAAGGATTCGATTTTCTTTTTTTTTATTCACGATTCGTCTTTGTGCGGTAGATTCTCGTTGCAAGAGAGACGATGTCACTTCTTCTTGAGTTCATCGGGGACAGAACTGTGATATAAGTTTGTCAGCATTTCATTTCGATTTGGTTGCATTTTTACCACATATCGAATCATTGTTTCATATTAGCTTGTTTATTAGATGTATCACACAGTGAAACGGTTTCGAACAAAGTTTATTGTTCATAATCACATCATCAGTTATAATCATACGACTTCGAAACTTGAGTTTTATAGTTATGTTTGTTCTCTCCTCCTATTTGTTGTCGTTGGGGGAGTAGAATTTTCCAGATATCTGCGTGGACAGATGTTGAATCGTTCCTATTACACGTGTTCTCTTCAGTTGATTCGATAAACAAAGCTTCTGTTGTAAAAATCTTTCTTCTGTTATATTAGATTAGATTTTAAAACTGTCATCTCATGACATCCATCCTATTGCATGGTTGTGTGTAATTGCATGTAGTGAGTGGTATGGCTGAACTATTCTCTAGATTTCTCATCTTATCTGGGTCAACTAATCTAGATTCTGCTGGTAGGTTTTTATGCTTGGCTAGTCTGACTGACTGACCCTGTTCTACTACTTTGACCCGTGTATTTGACCTGACAGTCATTGCAAACAGGGTATTAGATAAACTAAATTGTTTTGTTTTAAAGGCTCCACAGGATTGATCCTTTAACCGACAAAACTTGTTTCTCATTGAGTTTGTGGGTTTGATTGCCAGCGACTTTTATTGCTGCCTGCATTGTTAGGAATTCTCCGCTGTGAGGTTTCCGAGGTTCCTTCTTTGTACGGAATTACTACGGATAACTTAGATTCCTCACTGTTGGTGTTGTCATTATCCTGTGCATGTTTGACATGCATGTTGTCATTAATAAAGACATCTCCAACAATAAGGAATCTAAATCACCAGTAGTAATTTCATACAAAGAAGGAACCTTGGAAACCTCAAAACGCAGAATTCTTAACAAGGCAGGAATAAAAGTGGTTGACATTCAAACCACCCACAAACTCAATTGGAAACAAGCTTTGTGGGTTAAATGGTGGGTCTTGTGCAGCGGCCAATTAAACAAAACAATTTAGTCTATCTAGTGCCCTCCTGGAATGATTGTCAGGTCAAACACATAGGTCAAACTAGTAGGACAGCGGCAGTCAGTCAGACTAGCTGAACATAAAAACCTAACAAAATCCAGATTAGTTGACCCCAGTAAGATGAGAAATCTAGGGAACAGTTCACCTATAGTACACACTACATGCAATTTTACACAATCATACAATAGGATGGATGGGATAAGATGACATTATAAAAAACTTAATACAACTAACATGGTGGAGGGAGAGATTGATGTCAACGGAAGCTTTGTTTATCGAATCAACTGAAGAGAATATATGTAATAGGAATGATTCAACACCTGTCCACCCAGATATCTGGAAAATTCTACTACCCCAACGACGACAGAAGTGGGAAAGAATAAAGAAAACTATAAGACTGAAGTTTCTATGTTTTCTGATTATAATTAATGAAATGATTACGACCGATAATGAATTGTATTCGAAACTGTGTCATCCAGTAAATACTAATACTGTCTCACTGACTGTGTTATACATCTTAATAAACAAACTAATATGAAATTACCTACTACCACAATGCCCAATTTTTACACATATATTCGAATTATTGTTTGCTCTTTGTGAAACTTTTTCCCCATTCAGGTATCTAATTGTAACATTGATAAAACATTAATATCAACGAACCATGTAACATTGAACATAGAAAAAGATAATGATACAATGATTCAAACAAAAACTGGTGACGCGGCAAATTCAAATATTATTGAACAAACGCCTACTTCACTATCGTCATCATCATTAGCCTTGTCGAATAAAGTAACAACATCCAATGATGAAAATGTACAATATAATAATCATCATCATCATCATCATCATCACGATGATGAGGATGTTGCTGTCGATGACGAAATCAATAAATTCAATCAAAGAAGCGTATGCAAAAGTATTTCGCCGAGATTATTTCTTAAAAAACAAGTGACAACAGCCAATGTCATCTTAACAAAGCCTAATGTGATGTCGTCTTCATCAATTGACACGACGAAAATATCAAAATTGACGACAACAACAACGCCACCAACACATTTTCGATCAAATAGCAGTGTAAGTTTCTTCAACATTCCTACTATTGTTGTTTTTTATGACGTCGATGGTGTTTTTCAGTCTGTGACAGGAACTACTATGTATCACAGTTGTCATTTATTATTTTTTTCATTCCTTGAGTTTTGAATCATAAAAACATTATTTTTTTGCATTCCCAGTGGAACATCGGGCTTCGTTAAGCTAGAGCTTTCAAGTTTCAAGATGGGGTTGCTAACCTCATCCTCAAACCTTCTGTCTTTACCAGTCAGTCGTATTACTGGCTTAGCGAGGTGAAGAAGTGCATCGATGGCCGGGGATCGAACCCCGAACCACCCCTGCGTCGTGGTTAGCAAGCATTCTACCGCTTTGCCACCTACGCTTCGAGTGGCCTTCAAACTTTGAAATTGCAGTGGTAGTAGGGATTACTAGTCTCACACTTAACCTTTTGTACTTACTATCTATCTGTTAATGAAAACTAGGTGATGTTTTTTGTAACGTTTCAGTTGGGAATATAATCTGGGCGTCTCGTGATGGTTGGAGAGAATTCTATTACTGAATCACTAATACCCCATGGTGACAAAAAATAATCATTAAATGAGCAGGCAGAATTCACTCAGGTGGTATTAAATGGTTGGAAGTGATCGACTACAGGAAGCCTTGCTCTTGACCTAGATTTCGTGCTTGTGTTGGCAGTTGTCAGTTTGCAAGGTGGTAGGTGTATCTGCAAACTTGAAGGAACTCATGTCTTTTATGAGATTCATACCCGCGCCATCCAGTGTTGCGTACAGTCAGAGATGTTACCACTGAGCTATTCTGCCTTGAGATTCACCTCCTGTAAGACTGTATTAGATATTTTCGACTACACACTAGTCAATAACTAGTGTAGCGTATGTCTTGTCCGTTGTTTCGTGGAGACTGAACTATCAGACATCTTTTTTGTCGTAACCTCACTTCACTCTGAACAGATGGCTTTTAGCGCTATTGCTAAATGCAGCCTATCAAATATCTTTCTGAATCTATTCATCACAGGAGTAACTGCTTCACAGATATTGTCATCAAAGGACATGATCTATTATTGAATCATATTCTAAATTTTTGCAACGCTACATATCTGTAAGATAAGAGTGAGTATTTGTGTATACTTTGTTCATTAAGAAGATTCTGGTTACAAGGTTAGCTCTCAAACTCTTCAACCACTGGAATCTAACTCAATGACCAGCTCATGAATTCTAACTTCTACCACTTCATGATTTCAATGATCCTCTAACTAACTAATATCTCAACCCCTGATCAAACTTGATAAACAAAGCAAGTCCTCATTAGTGACTGGTTGCAGGATAATGTTGCCTGGAATTCCAGTGGGTAATCGTGACCAATAGGGTTCACGCGGTTGGGAGTGGGCGAAAATACTCACTGATGACATTCGGGTGGGGGGGGGGGTTGTTCGCACTGAAATCATGAATTGAAAGGAGTTAGAATTCATGGGCTGGCCATTGAGTTAGATCCAAGTGGCTAAATGACCTACGAGCTAGCGTGATTTGTAGCTGGAAGGTCCTGGGTTCGAACCTCCTGCAGTGGATGAGTACTGCCGATAAGTTCCAAACTAGGCTGACGAAACAGCTGTCCAGTACTCCAGTCCTGGTTTTCAATAATTCCTTAACTCTGATATCAATCTATCACAATACCATTTCAATAAATAAAAGCGGTTGATCCAAATTCAATTTTATTATTTATTTATTGATTCCATTTGTTATATCGTAATAATTCAATATAGTGAGTTGGTTGGGGTGGTGGTGGTGGTGGTGTATAGAAAGTACCATAAAAGTACACCTTTTCTGAAAGTGAATATATATATTGATTAATCGACTACCTGATGTAAAATATATCAATGACAATTAAATTTGTAACCTTATTTCGCTTAGTAATTCACTCTGCCTATTTTGTCTGTATGTCTGTCGACCTTCATGAGAACAAACAATAACAACAAAAGCTTTAGTAGTGGAGTTATGCTGAATTCAATCTAACCAGCATGCCTCAATGGCGCCATAAACCGAGAACTGTGCATTGATGGTGGTTCACTGCTAAAATGCTCACCCCATGTGGTCTGAGATTGGATTTCCTACTGACGCACTCTTAAACCTCGATTAAAACCGATGATAGTAAGCCAGGTGAAGAGAGAAGGTTGGTTGGATGTGGAGCTAGCAAACTTCAGGACTTAAGCTCGAAGCTCTCTGTGTTCCCCTCGGAACACGAAGAAATGAAAAATACTCCCCCCCCCCCTAATCTGAGAATTCCTTTGAACATGGAGCAATAGTTATAAGCTGTGAAACAGGAAATTATACATTGGTGAAACTGACAAAACTTGCACTAATTCATTAGGCCTATGATTGTTAATCAGAATATTAATAATAGTAATAATATAATATTATAACTGTTTCCCTTTGGTTCCAGTTGGAACATACGACTTCAACAGTATATCTCTCTTTCATCCTGGTCTCTGCAGTTGTTTTTAGTCAACTGTACGATTATCCACAGGCTTCCATCCCCCCAAAATGTCACTCTCCGGAATTCACGGCCAACTTGTCGTTTCCAGTTCGGGTTACACTTAAGAATCTGTTTGATGTGTGATATCACTCAAATGTCTCCTCAGTATTTGACCAATTAATCTATATTTCCACCAGTATTTGTGTGGAGCAATAGGTTCTTGGTTGGTACACATTTCTAAAGTTCTTTGTAGCTTTTCCTTTCTGATCATTTTTGATCTTGACTATGTGTGCAGTGAAAAGTGATGAAGACATTCAACCAAACAGGAACAACAAACCACACACCAATCATCATCAACCGGGGGGGGGGGAGATTTTACAAAGGTTACTTCCTGCCCTCACTTATCTAGAAAGCAGCCAGTCGGAACGGATGAAGATGTCAACACCAGAATCGGTGGGGTAAGATACGCCGCCTTCATTAACTTAAAACTAGTTTGCAAATCTTCTGCATTCACTCAGCCCGCATGAAGAATAAGATTCGAATTCTATTCAACACAACTATGAAGTCAGTTAGCTTTTCTATATGGGTCAGAAACTTACACTGAGTGTCACGAAAGTTATAGTTACAGTTCCAACAAGTTACAGACCTTTATCCACATCTGCTCACTTCTCTGGCTCCATACTAAAGTTCAAATGGTCAGCCAGAAAGAATTAGCAACACGAAACTCTGGCTGTCTGGGAGCATGCCAACAGGCGAGAGCCGATTATTATTATTATTGTTCCCTTGAGTTCCTAGTGGAACATAGGGCTTCAACTGCACGTCTCCACTTGCCACTTCTGTTTTGCTTCTGCTGTACTTTTCACCTGCATCCATGTTACTCCATACTGTTTCAACTCCTCTTCACACGATCTCCTCTATGTCACCCTTGCACTGACGTCACACTCGCCGCTTCCCTTTCGGGTTCCACTTGAGCAATGGCCTGACGCTCGCACGATGTCACCCAATGACCTTCTCAGCGAGTGTCCAATTCATCTCCACTTTCTCCTGCATATTTGTTGGTTGGTGATTGGTTCTTGTTTTGTTTGTTTGTTCCCATAGTTTCTTGTTGTTGGTGATTCTTTCCGGGCCGGCCATCTGATCTTCAGTATAGAACGAAGACAGTTGTTGGTTGATGAAGGTCTGCAACAGGCTGTTGGAAATATTCTTTGTGATCCACCCGCCAAGTTTATCATCCGTATAAAAAAAGAAGTGACTCACTTGATGTTGTTTGAATTGAAGATCCGAATTTTGTTGTTGATGCTGAGTGACGAAGATTTCCAGATTGATTTCAGGTTGATGAATGAATGTGTTTCTCGCCTTCCCGACTCTCGCTCGATCTGACATCCTCGTCCGTTCCGACTGCCTGTAGTTGAGACAATGCTCCCTAGATGACAAGTGAATGAAGTAACCTCTTTCAAATCCCTCCTGTTGGTGGTGATTGGCGCTGGATGTTGCTGTTGTTGTTGTTGGTGGTGGTGGTTGGTTATTTTCACCACCTCCGTCTTGTCTATGTTCACTTGGAGTCTTGTCTTCGCTGGCTGCTTCTTCGCCCACTATGTCGGTTTTCGCTTGTAAGTCTTCGATTTTATGTGACATCAAACATAAATCATCCACGGGCGAAATCCAGGTCTTCTAGGTTCTTCACGTCGGTCGGTCCAGGATATCCCTGTCCTGTTTCTCGTTTCCCACTCACTGTCTGACACATAATCCAGTCAGTCCACCACAATTATGAATCGAGATCTGCTTGCTCAACAAATATTTGGAAGAAAATTGAGATCGATTGGGAGCACACTGAGAAGACTGTCGAATAACATCATTCGTCAGGTCCTCGAGTGACATCTATATGGGAAGCGACGATTGGGTCATCGGTGCGAGGGTGACATGGAGGGGATCGTGTGTTGAGGAGTAGGAGAAGATGAGACATTATGTGAGCAATCTTTGGATCAGAAAGCAGAAAGTAGCTGGCTGTGAAGATCTGTTGTTGGAACCGGTATGTTCCACTCGGAACCCAAGGGAATAATAATCATAATAATAATTCGGCAGACCAAAGCCAGGCAATCTACACCTCCCTACCTGACTGACATTGCAACACGTGTTCTAAGCATCTGAATCGATCGAGCTTCACAGCCTGATCGATTGACTTAATCTCTTTACCAAACACTGTACGTCTAACTTCTTTATTACTCAATTATATATAGATATATACATATTCTTTTTCTATGCGTACTATAGAGTCGTGAAAATATGTTCGACAGTAATATCAATGGTGATCACTTCTCATTTGGTGCATCGAATACTGTCCAGGTGAATCTTACACATCACTCTCCAACTCATAAAGTGTATAATAATAGTAATACTAATGTTAATAATGATGATGCTGTTGATAATTTCGTCTATCGTCAACATACTCATCGGAAAAATGCTTCAGCTGAAGAATTGTACAGTTATACACCACATTCAGATCATAGTAATTATGATATAAATGATACTGGTGATGAAGAGAATTCCACATCGACCACGATGAATTCAATGAAAGCTACTACTACTACTACTAATAATAATCATAGTCATAGAAAACAACCCTCAGAGTTGGCTGTCGAAATAGCCCTACTACGCTATGAGCTACTGCTATCTCGTCAAGATGCACTACGTGCTGCTGATCGATTGAGTAAACAAGAGACAGAAATTTATCAGCTACGTCAATTATTAGAACAATTACGTAATAACAATAATAGTAATAACAATAATACTAGTAGTAAGAGGAGAAATAAACAATCAATCGATAACAATTATGATACAGTGTTGTTGAATACTACCACTCATGTTAATGATGAAATAATGATGAGTGGCAGTCAACAGGTCAACAACAGTGATCCTGAACTCTCCAGTGTTAAGAAACAAAATAGCGCCTGTAGTGGTGGTGGTGGTGTTAATAATTCTTTACAGAATCCATCAAATACTCATTCAAAAGTTTTACAAAGTGTAACAGCTACATTCAAAGAGTTGGATGATGCAATGGCAAGGTAGGTGTAAAAATTCACTGGCTTTTTCATTCAATACTTTCTTTGTATTTACTGTTAATTGCTTACTTGAATTATTGATTTATCTTTACTTGATATTAAACAGAGACTCATCCGGTAATACTCACGCACTGGGTTTCGAACCTAGGACAAGCTCGTTTACCATTCAGCTACTGGAAACTTGATACAATGACTCATGAATTTTAATTCCTATCAATTCGTGATTTTTATCGCGACCAATCAACCAATGTCGTTACCATTGAGATCCAACCAGTTGGGAGTGACGATGGAGTTCCCGCCGATGATATCGATTGGTTGTCGTGCTAACATTATTCACGAACTGCTGATAGGAATTAGAATTCATAGACTGGCTATTAGATCAGGTGTCATTGGGTTAACGGTATACGAACTTACTTGCTTGCTTGTTAAACGGGGAAAGGTCCTTGGGTTCGAACTGCCTGTTGTGTTGGATGCGTACTGCCGATGAATCCTAAACTAGGCGGCTGACGAAACCACTGTCCAATACTCCAGTGCTGGTTTTTAATGGTTCTCGGTGGTCAAACTCGAAAAATCAATCTAATCCTTACAAATCTCAACTCCTGAAAATTTAAGAGATTCATTAAAAGAAATCTCAAAAGACTGATTAATAATGAATAAAGAATATTGTTTTCGTTCAACCTCCCTCATCAGTTTCAGGATAGACAAACTTCTTTTGTTAGCCGGTGAAGTCACAATTTATGCGTGTCCTGACAGGACAACTTGATTGGACAGTTTTGATTTTTTTATTTATGGCTTACATTTCTGAAGTTTTGTAAAGGTGTCTAATAAAAAGGTGATCGTAGCACTTACTGTTGTCCTTGTGGTCATTGTTGTCGGTCGTCGTCGTCGTCGTCGTTTATCCCATTCTGACTTTTGTGTCTGCCTCAGTGTGGAGGGTAAATTCAGGTGATCAATTGATTGTAGTGTCGTGTCCTGAACGCACATCCTAGTCAAGTTAGATGATCCCACAACCTAGTAACACTCCATCGTAGTATATAACACTTAACTGACTACCAGACAAATTAAGAAAAATTATAATACATAATTTATGAATCTGTAAATTCCATATCAGGCCAGAGTAGTAATACTGTCTGTGGACCTGTTTCTTTTGTGCACACAGCGCTGATTGTTTTAAGTGAATCGCAATGCTGTTCGCCTTTTAGAGTGTTCGGTATCTGGAGAGACCTTTGACAATTTATCAGATGCCTGATAGATTCTTCAATGTTGGCTTTATGATCTTTTTGGATCAGGTGTTATAATACTGAATTGTTGATAGTTTTTACTATACTATACTATACTACTACAGTCTGCTGACCACTTTTCACTTATTCAGGCGGGGTTGTGTCAGTCCCATAATGGGGACTCATTGCTAACAAAATCTCTTCACGCATACAAAAGCCACATTTATCATTATCCAAGTGACATCACCCCTGCAGTAGACATGATGTCCAGGTTATTGTATTAGTACACAACAATTCAACTCCGTCCTTCCTAATAGGTGTGAAACATGACCATTGAAAGTGGGAACATATGAAAAGGCTAGTTATCTTCGATATAATAGGTGTTTGCGTTCTATCTCCCGTGTTAAGGTGTACACTGTGGTGAGAACTGTTCTTCAAGCCAACATTGTAGACAACAATTTACGTCAATGTTCACGTCCTGAATCGGGGTCATGAGATAAAAACAACAACAAAGCTTAACCTTGAGGAAATCAACAACCACTCCCAGCAGACTTAGCGTGAGCGGATACGATTAGCAGATACATGGCCTGACCTTCAGGGAAACGGCCACAAAGAGATGACAGAATAATCTTCAACAAGAAAACAACCAATCAGAAGAGGTTGCTTCTTCACTAACAATAATGTACATAGAAATCTATAAATACCTCTTGATTTTCTCAATAAACGATCTATCTGGCCTGGCACTTGTCTTCTGTCGTTACAGTATAACCTAGTCATGAGTAATATTGAGGTTAAGCTTTAAATCTTCCCCAACAGCGCAGATGTGTTTGACTGACTGACTGACTGACTGACTAGTTTCAAAGTAGAACTTTCCACAGATGTGCAGAAAAGTTCAAGTTTCCACAATCCTCCCTCCATGTAATGGACAAAGCAAGAAAAGAGAGTAAGGAGAGGTTCAAAAGACAGATAGATTATAAACAGAAGTGTGAGTGAGAAAAAAAACAATAATAATATCGACTTCATCAACTTCATCATAGATGTGTTAATGGACTTAACCCTAGGTGACTTCAGCGACTCAGGGATTGACTTGCTACCGAGGAATAATCTCGTTGACTTAGAATATGCAGACGATATAGTCCTTCTAGGCGACGACTCTGACAAAATTCAGAGTCTTCTAAACACCTTGAGCCGCAATCTACGAATGTTTGGCATGCGATTCGCTCCCGCCAAATGCAAGATGATGATACAGAACTGGACTACATCGACGCCTAGTTTAAAAATAGGAAGTGAGGTGGTAGAGCACGTTGACCGCTTCACTTATTTGGGAAGTACCATTAGCCCCAACGGGCTGATATCTGACGAAATCTCAGCACGAATACAAGGGGCTCGTTTCGCATTTGCCAGTTTACGTCGACTCTGGCGTAAACGAGATGTTCGACTATCGACCAAAGGGCGGGTGTACTGCTCATCAGTTCGCTTCGTCCTCCTTTATGGCTGTGAGCGAGACCTGGCCACTGAGAGTGGAAGACATGAAAAGACTAGCTGTGTTTGATGATAGGTGCCTGCGCTCTATTTCCCGTGTGAAGTGGCATATTAAGGTGAGCAACATGGAGGTTAGGCGTAGAGTTCTAGGTAAACAGGGGAAATCAATCGACGAAGTTGTGAAGCTACACCGATTGAGATGGTTAGGACATGTGTTACGCATCCCTAGTCATCGCCTCCCTCGACGAGCTATGTTAGCGAATATAGGGTCAGGCTGGAAAAAAGCTAGCAGCGGTCAAACAAAAACTTGGCCTCACCAGTCAATGAAATCCACAACAGTTAGTCTAAGCCACGTAGGAAGGTGTAGATTTCCAGGCTAGGGTCCTCGGGATGGTAAAAATCTATGGTTGAAAACAATTGGTGACATGGCTCAAAATAGTTCTCAGTGGCGCAGATGCATCCACTCCTTCTGACTTATGATTTTCAATGAAACTGTTTTGTTCTTCATTATTACTCCTCCTTTGTCTCACACCTCTGCTTGCTGTCTCTGTTATGCTCTTCTTGTACTTTTTTCTCTTGATTCGCGTGCTACACGGAGTGTGGCGACTTGAACTTCCGCACATTTGTGCAAAGTTCTATGTCGAAAACAGACAGACAGAATATCGAAGAACAATAGAGTTTTATTGGAGATGACACCTCACAAACAGTGAATGTATCTGCGTCAGCTATTGACAAGGACTTTGAGTCATATCAACAATTGTCCTCAGCCTTCATTGGCTCTTACCACCCTGAGAACCCAAACCAGAAAGTCAGCCTACACCTCCCTCCCCTACGTGACTGACTGGCTGGCTGGTTGGCTTAAACTAACTGTTGGTGATTTCATTCACTGATGAAGCCATGTTTTGATTTGACCACCTCACCACTAACTCTTTTCTAACCTGATCCTATCTCAGTCAGATAACATTGCTCATCGGTCAAGGAAGACAATGACTAGGCAAGCATGCGTAACACATTTCCTAAATATTTCAATCGGTGTAACTTCGCAGATGTATTTACTCTTTGTGATCTCCGATATCTGTTAAACCCTTATGTTTCCCATGTCACTATTATCTCTCTCTCCCTCACATTTCCGATTGTTACAATACTTTTGAATCCCTTCCCATATACTACATGTGGCAACTCGAAATGCTACAATTCTATCGGAACTCGGTCAATCAGTTGACTTTCAGTTGAGGGTATTATTTATCTATTTATTTGTTTTATTACAGCTTGATTCCACACCGTATTTTAGGTACAAGTATAGAATTTTCAGCATGTGATATCAGTAGCCCAAATTTTGCCGGCCGACCATAGATATCAGGTGTTCGTCGGCAGGGGATCGAACCCCGAACCATGTGCATGGTCGGTGGGAGTTCTAATCACTGTGCCACCGACGCACGCAATAAAGAAAAAGGACTATGAGGCCTTCTCACTGAACGCAACCGATTAGGGTCCGTTGCGAGTTTCAACCCACCGAGGTGCAATAGTGAGCCTCCATCCGGGGTCAGAACATTCTTGATCACCCTGAACCCGGCACATTAGGGATGAGGGAGGAATTCATGAAAGCTAGATTTAATTGATAATTGGTTATTTACTGTTGTAGACCTTTCTTTTGTTTTCGTGATCTCAACATTTTTCTTAAAACTTATTTTTCAATTTAGATTAGAATTAGAACAAAGTGAACTACTCCGTGAACAGGCTAGAATACGTGCTCGAATCGCTGCAACACATCGACATCAACATCAACATCACCACCAACAACAACAGCAACAGCAACAACAACCAATCACATCGTGTACACAATCCATCATCAATCCTACAGTAGTCTCATCTAAAAGTAAATCTCTTATACGTCCAAAATGCTTTCAATCTTCTATCCCAAAAATTTTAATCAATTCTGAGAAAAATCGTGACCTACCGAGTCCTGGCCACATAAATTATGCCAATTCATCTCGGACTAATAGTAATAATAATTATATTCAAAAGGCCGGCATATGTAGTGAATTAAAAAGCGCGCCAAAAAAATAAACCTGTTCAATGTTCAATACATGGATAAAAGCATTTATTATTGTTGTTATCATCACTATTTTTTCGTTGAAGAGAAAGATAAAATGAACACATTGTAATTTTTTTCTTTCTTCTAAAATGATGCATTTCGATTATTCACGATTGATCCCGTTTTTGCGCGCTTTTTAATGTTATGTATGGAAAAAGACCAATCACGTAACTATGACAACACTGTATTCATATTGTACATTGTGTCATTTTATCCTATGTGAATTAATTTTGACCCTTTAGCTTTGTACTTACTATAGGTGGTTTATTGGTGTCAATATGAAACTTACTCACCCCTCCCCGAGACTCCCTCCCCTTCCTTTTTCTAAGTAGAGATCATTATTCCGATTGATTGTATCTCTTGTTTTTTCGCCCAGTTGTTTGTACACTCTACAATGAATGTACAATAAATAAATAAAGTTCCTTTCATTTCCTGAGTTCCGAGAAGAACACGGGACTCTTCAGACTTGAAGGGAACCTTTGAAGTTTCAGTGGCTTTCGTACATATTTTCTTCAAAGTGTATGTGACAGGGGTGGGGTTACTAGTCTCATGACCCCTAACCTTCCCTCTGTATTTGGTTTACTATCTGTTGGTCAGGCAAGTTGTGAGAGTAGTACGTCGACGCCACGCAAATCGAACTCAGGACCATGTGGAGTGTGGTTGGTTGGCTAGCGAGCACATTCTAACCCTCGTTAACCCCTTATTTTCTTGATCCTTCCAATTTTATTGATGATTGCTAATGGTTGGTAGTCATTCTGATAATAATGTGTATTCTGTGATATTTTTTGTGATATTTAGGTTCACAAGCTTCTTAATACTTGTGGTGATGACAGTAGTAGTTATCACGAATAGAAAGTTTCTAAAATTCAGATAAATAAACCTTGGTAAAATATTTGACTTGGTAATTTTACGCATATATGCAGATATGATGGAGAGGAGATTTGTAGCTCGGTTGGATGATTTTCATGTCGTTGTGTTCCCTGATCTAGCTGGCTAGCTAGATGGTTTATTTGCGAAGCTTTCATTATTGCCCTACTACTAGGAATCATCTTCAGCGCATACTTCACTTCAGTTTGAATCGAAGTGAGCTGTTGTTTCGATTTCTCCACGAGTTCACTATTAGTCATCTCTCCTGGTGACCACCAGCTTGAACGTGACTCTTTGATTGTGTTTGTATGTTTTCAAACCTTGTAGGCTTCTACTTGTATAGGTATTGGTTTTGATTTGTGTGTGAGATTTCCTTCTTATCGATTGGTAAATTTTGTCTATCTCGATGTGTCTATTGATTGACGATTCGCTAGAATACCTGGCGGGCTTCGAAAAATTCTCTGGCTAACATTCTTAGTGCTTCCTCTTCATCTTCCTACCCATGAACATAAACTAGCCGTCAAATGAGACATGACATCCTCTCCCTCCCTGATATCTCTGCATACAAACAACCACGAGCATCAATTCGACTAGGACAACCGACGTTCAAATATTAGACAGAGGATGTTACTTAGCAGTAGGGCAACAATGAAAGCTTTGCAAATAATAAACCATGTACAGGTATTGACTAAATACCTCTACCATAGATACAAATCCCAATTTACACACACGTCTTCGGTATTGTGCTACTTTGTTTGCCTTTCATATTTCCCATATTGCTTCACAAGCATTGGTCATCTTTTCTCTTCACCATTGGAATCCATCTCTTCGATATTCGATAGGTTTGGTGCGTCAGTGGCATGGCTGTAAGGAAACTCACTGACCATGCACATGGTCCGGAGTTCAATCCCCAGCCGACGCACACCCGATATCAATGGTCGGTCTGCTAAATTTGGGCTACCTATATCACATGCTGGGAATTCCATACTTGTATCAAAAACACTGTTTGGAGTCAAGCTATAATAAAAAAAATTTAAAAATTACATCTGTATTTATATAGTACTTATAAACCCTATCAGTAGCACATGACACAAAATAACTCAGAACATTTAAACCGATGCGTGTAGATGTATGCTGTCCTTCTAACACACACACACACACACACACACAGAGGTCAACACCACTCGTATTTCCCTATTTTTTTATTTCGAACCGAAATGTTCAGTTAATGTTGACATTTGTTAGCTCCTATATTACGGACCACCCATCGACGATGCCTGAAAATTAGCATGATGTTATTCGCTACTTGGTGACTAACAGTGGAATCCACAAGGCTCGTTTTATCCTATCGTGGATTTATCATCTGAATGTGCCTGTATTCCATAGTGGACGATGGTGTCTACAGTGATACTCAAACTCATCACTGGCTGTTTCGTTCATGAATGATTATTACACATCAGTAAACGAAATCCCTTATCCTCCAGACAGTATGAAGATGTCACTCGCGATTGATGAGATCATTCAAGAGTAATTAAGTATTTTGACCTTAGCCAAGATATCCTATCACTTTTCATGTTAACCTTAGCCAAGTAGATAAGATTTAGACTTCAGTGAGATATTTCCATTCCACTCAACACTCTGGTATCTCTTTGGACTGGTTCCACAATTGCCTAAAAGCCTTCAGTTTCCACCTAAACTTGATTTTTTTTTCTCCATATCCCTCTCAGAAAAACCAAGCGCCGGATTCTCGACCAGTTAGTTCCCATTTGATAACTTGGCGTATGATGTTACTTGATGGTCTCTAAAGAGTATTTCTAACCTGGCTTAGTTAACTAGCTTGCTAGTTTTCTAGCCGGTTCCAAGGCCGGGTGAAGAGGGAAGGTGGGTGTGGGGCTATTAAATACAAAAACTTCAATTAAAAATCTTATTCTTCTCTCGAATCGGAGAGGTGAAGTGACACAGTGGGCTAGTGAAAGCCAGCCTTCGACAAGCTGGTCAGCCAGTCAATGTGTCTTCTCTCCATGAAAAGAATAATAATAATAATAATGAGGGGGGTGGAATATCCGTGCAATGTACGAAGCCTGCTGGGAAGGCTGCTCAGGTAGTTATAAAAATGAGAAGATATAGCACAGAAGTCCTGGGTATCTTCGAAAACAGATGGAACAAATGTGGATTATACAAATCGTCAACTGTGGAGAGTCAATAATCTACTCTAGTCATCCAGACGACAACCACGAGCACACTGAGACAGTGAGTCAGTCACTTCTTCTATATGAGTCAGAAACTTCCACTGCCCCTCACGAAAAGCATTTCCAACAACCAGTTACAGACTATCTTCGCTGGCTCCATTATGAAGATCAAATGACCAGTCAGTCAGCCGGCCAGAATGAATTAGCAACAAGAAACTCTGCAGGGGAACAAATCAACAGGCGACAGCCGATTGTTCAACAAATATGTAGGAAAATATGCAGGTGAATCGGGTATACGCTACTGAGAAGTGGCATCTAAATGGGAAGCGACGAATGGGTCGTCGGTGCGAGGAAGACATGGAGGAGATAGTGTGTTGAGGAGGAGGAGGAGATGGGAGATTATAGGCAATCATGGGGTCAGACAGTTGAAGAGAACAGCAGAAAATAGAAGAAAGTGGAGATGTTTCAGGATTTCATCATGAGCTGAAATTAGTTAGAGAACCATTGGAAAACCTGCCAGGAAGTACTGGACAGCTGTTTCCTCCTAGTTTGGGACTCTTCAGCAGTAAGCAACCACCTGGATTCGAACCCAGAACCTTTCGGTTATAAGGCGAGCTCGTATACCATTACGCCACTGGGACCCGATCCAATGGTCCTTGAATTCTGACTTCTGCCAATTCACGACATAGCGCGACCGCTAGCCAATGTCTTCAGTGGCGAGTATTTGTCCTCACACCCTACCAGCTGAACCGTCTTCTGGTCACCACTTCCCACTGGAACCCAGGTAACTACCTACCTGAATAGGGCCAGTCACCAGTGAGCATCTCATTGGTATTCAAGTGTTGGTTTGTAGGGATTCACGACAGCGCGTGAAGTGGCAGAAGTGAGAACTCAAGGACCATTGGATCGGCTCCCAGTGGCTTAATGGTATACGAGCTAGCTCGCCTTGTAACCGGAAGGTCCTGGGTTCGAATCCCGGTGGGTACGTACTGATGAAGAATCCCAAACTAGGAGGAAACAGATGTCCAGTACTTCCTGGCAGGTTTTCCAATGGTTCTCTAACTAATTTCAGCTCATGATGAAATCCTGTAACCAATCAATCAAATCCCTACAAACCAACACTTGAAAAGTGGAGATGTGTTGTTGAAGCCATATGTTCCACTCGGAACCCAAGGGAATAATAATAAGAAGAAGAGGATATCTAATTCCTAATAATAGAGGTTTTTGTATTTCTCAATGAATGAAAAACAAAACGGTATTGTTTTTTATTCATTGGGAAATACAAAATGAAACCTTTATTATAATGAATATCATATACCCAATGCCCAAATTTTTCAAATTGTTAAAAGTGAACTTGGTTTGGACATATATATCTAATTCCTTCTGAATATTTGCTGAGTAATAAATAAGTTGTAAGCTGGTTCACTGTCTATCGGAATTCTAAAGTAATATTTGTTACCGTGGTGTAAGTAACTGCTAGCTACTGCGCCCCTCTCTCTCTCTTTACAGGGCTGGACAATCAATTATTGCAATTATAAAACAGATTGTCGTTAGAATGCGAAAAAGCATATATATATATTTTTTTTATAAAAATAATATAATCAAGATTTAGACAAAGTAATAGGCAATTAATGACCACTACTCATTTTTCTAATCATAAATGAGTACTTTTGTAGCTTTGTTTAATTGCTGATGGCTATCATTAGCCAAAAAAACCCTAGAAGAAATGCTGTATCCCATTCAGGATTCTATATTTTAGTGTAATTAAAATCCCAGTAGAGGATAGTGTTCACTTTGTGCGTCGGTGGCACAGTGGTTAGTACTCTCGCCGATCATGCACATGGTCTAGGATTCGATCCCCTGCCGGCATACCTGATATCTATGGTTGACCTGAAAAATTTGGGCTACCGATATCATATGCTGAAAATTCCATACTTCTACCAAAAAGTACTGTGTGGAATCAAGCTGTAACCAAAAAAAAATTATTTGTTCCCAGTCTTGTATAGAACATTCCTCCCCATACTCTCTTTAGCGATGAAGGTAAAGGTGAACATGTTAAGCAATAATTAATGTATGCAGTAGTAACTAGGATTGCCACATCTGAGATGCAAAAATGAGTCCTAGAGATCCGTATGTGTTGGTAGTTCGCTGTGCTAGAATGCTTGCTAAACACTCACGTGATCTCGAGTTCACTTTCCAACCGACGCACTCCTCAAAATCTCATCTAGTTTACTAGTCCGGTTGATACTCGATAGTGTTGGAGGCAATCATCATCACAAGGAAGCCTTGCTCCACCTAGGTTTCGAGTTTGTTGGTACTCATCAGTCAGGTGAGACATACCTCCAATCTTGAAGGAGATTCGAACCCTCGTCGCCCAGTGCTACTTGTAGTCAGAGACGTTACCATTGAGCTATTCGGACTCACGATTGACCTCCTGTAGAAGGCCACATCGCAAACTCGACTAGTAGTGTGGTGAGAGCAGGCCGTGAGAAAATATGAGCAAGGCTGATTCAACAACCAATCACAGCAAAGTTAACGTGGCAAAATATGATTCGCAGATAGAGAACTCTATTTGTCGAGGAATCCCGAAACAACCAATCAGAAGCCTGCGTTTGTCTGCCTAACTTCTGATAAACAACCAATCAGATAACTGCGCTTGTCTACTTGCATAAGCTATAATGTATGTGAAATATGTATAAATACGTGTTGATTTTCATAATAAAACGATCTGTTGCCTGGCCCTTGTCTTCTGTTGTTACAGTAGAATTCAGCCTGCACGAAACAAAAGACCAGAAACATGGTACCAGTTAATTAGTGTCTAATCAAAGTTACTAGGTACAAGATATCATCATGAGCTGACATCGGTTAGAGAAACATTGGAAAACCAACAGGCAGAAAGTACTGGACAGTTGTTTCGGCAGTCTTGTTTGGAACTCTTCAGCATTACGCACCCACCACAGGGAATTCGAATCCAGGACTTTCTCGTTACACGGCGATCTCATAGATCATTAGGCTATTGGGACCCGATCCAATGGCCATTACATGAATTCCAACTTCTGCCAATTCATGGTATAGCGCGACAGCTAGCCAATGTCATTGGTGGCGAGTATTCGTCCTCACACCCAACCTGTTGCATCCTACTGGTCACGATTTCTCACTAAAATCCCAGGGGGTATCTACCCACCTGAATAGGGCCATTCGCTAGTGAGCATGTTATGGATATTCAAGCTACTAGTCTATGTAGCGGCGAAGTTAAACTTTAAGCACCACTAACTACCAATCAGCGAACGACGTCGAATTATCCAATGAGATTCAGGAACGTTATTTCAATGTTGCATAGCGCTTGATTCATTTCAAATGCGTGCCCTAACAAGATTACGTTTGCAATTCGAGGAGGATAGTGTTTTTCAGTATCGCCTGGATTAAGGGTTGCTCCGGAAGGAGAGAAGTTATTCTTGCAGTGGTGTCATGACTTTAAACAGCTATAGCAGGTCAACTGATGGATTTGTTCATCGTTGTGCAATATGCGTGAAGCGAGTTAGCATTAGAGGGGGTAAGCTGATAATTTTAATATTTCGTACAGATTTCTTTTGCAAGGTCACACCTCTCCCTGACGCAAATTTTGTACATCTGCAACTACTGGGTCTTGAAACAGCCAGTGAGAGCCGCAGCTGCTGAAACGGAGAATAGCCTCGTCTCAACAATTCAGTGGTACCAGCACTGCAGAGATATTGCTTCTTGGAAAATGGAGAAAATCACTTCTTTGTCGGGTGGAGAAGACGTTGTTGTGCACGTCGATGAAACTGTGTTGGTGAAGAAGAAATACAACCGTGGTCGGCAGCGAGCGAACAATATTTGGGTCGTAGGTTTGTATGGCGCCTCCCTCCGAAAGGTATTCGTCGAAAGGATAACACAGAGAAAAACAATTACTTTAATACCTATTATTACCAGACTTGTAAGACGGTGATCAATAATACACATGGACGAATGGAAAGGTTACAATTCCCTGTGATCTCTGGGATATATTCATCATAGAGTCAGCCATTCAAGTGATTTTGTCGATCCCATTACGAGGACACATACAAATTCTATTGAAGGATTTTGGGGCAGGTTGAAAAATAGGATAAGGGCTATAAATGAATCTCTAAAGGATCTCATTTATAATCATTTGGATGAATATATGTACCGAATGTCGTGTAACTTTTCTATTGACAGTTCGATGCTTAACTGGGAGATGTTTTTCTCACATGTTAGGGAAAGATACCCCGTGTAACAGTTTTATCCTTTTTTATGCTATTTTTCTATAAATATACATTTCCATTTATCATAAATGCCTTTTTATGTGATTGGTCCGTTCAAGGTCGTTTGCTGATTGGTTGTTAGTGGTGTCGAAAGTTTAACTTTACCGTTCGCCATAAGCTATGATTCGATAACGAGTTTTGGATCACAAATTCAAAGTCTTGTCCAAAACGCCACATGATGTATAACTGATCACAGGGATACTGCTGCTGCATTACTTTAAAGACACAGAAGGCAGGAATTCTTCTTCTTCCAGGAGAAAGACGAAAGCTGATAATGTTACATTACAATTATTTTTTATTTCATTGAGTTCTGAGTACAATATAGGTAGTAAAGCGTGAAGGATGTCCACCAGTAGTGCTGCTTTCAAACGTGGCTCAAACTAACTGTTGTTATGGATTTCATTGACTGATGAGGCCATGTTTTGGTTTGACCACCCCACCACTAACTCTTTTCCAGCCTGACCGTATATCAGCTAACATTGCCTATCGGTCGAGGAAGGTGATGCCTAGGCATACGTAACACATGTCAATATCATCTCAGCTTCACAGCCTTATCGATTGACTTCTCCTACTTACCTAGCACTCGACGTCTAACCTCGGTATTGCTCACCCTATTATATCACCAGCAAACACAGGAGATAGAACGCAGGCACCTATGATCAAAGACAGTTGTATGCAGCGATATCAGGGAGGGAGTGGATATCAGTGTCTTTTGACAGCTAGTTTATGTTCATGAATACGAAGACGAAGAAAAAACAGACTAAGAATGCTAACCAGAGAAGTTTTTTAGAAGCCCACCAGGTATTCCAGTGAATCGTCAATCAACAGACACATAGAGATAGAAAAAATATTTACCGACCGATAATAAGGAAATCTCACACACACAAAGGGTCAAACTTCAAGTCAAAGAAACAATCAACACCAATTTTCTATAGTTCGGTTGATAAGGGTTAGTTATGTTTTTACGAGTAATTAGTTCCCGATCTAGGACGGAGGAAACAGCTGTCTGGCAGTACTCCAGTGCTGGTTTTCCAGTGGTCCTCTAAATGATATCAGTCCGTGATCAACTCGTAAAAACATAACTAACTCTTACAAGCCAAACTATAGAAAATTAACCTGATGCTCGCTATTGACTATTGGATACAGGATGGAGTTTCCAGGAGTTCTAGTGAGAAGTCGTGACCAGTGAAGTCCATCCAGATGTCACACGTGTGAGGATGGATGTCCCATCAACGACATTGGTTGTGGTTACGCCAAATCACGAATTGGTAGAAGTTAGAATTCATGGGCTGACCATTGAGTCGAGCGTGTCCCACCCAGTGGCTGAATGGTATACGAGCTTGCTGGCCTTGTAAGCAGAAGGTTCTGGGTTCGAACCCCGGGTTGTGAGGGTGCGTACTTCCGATGATTCCCAAACTAGGACGGAGAAAACAGCTGTCTGGCAGTACTCCAGTGCCGGTTTTCCAGTGGTTCTCTTACTGTGATATCAATCCGTGATCAACTCGTAAAAACATAACTAACCCTTATAAACCTACACTAACTGGAACCAATCCCTAACATCTCCCTAAATTAGTCTAACCAAACGGTAACTTGTCCTTAGCCTAAACATTAACTAAATCTTTCTCAAACCTAACCCACAACTTACAAGAGATATCGTATTTAATATAACAACACTTCCTCAAGGATACTTTTGTTTATGATTATAGTGTTTCCCTAAAATTGTTGACTGAGCGTTCCAAAATCTTTGGGGGTGATCTCACTCCTCTGGTGCTTAAAGTTTAACATGACCAAATTATTATTATTGTATCCTTTAGTTCCTAGAGGAACATAGGGCTTCAGCTGCGAACCTCCATTGCCTTCTGTTTTCTGTCAACTTTTTCACCCCGCTCCAGGTCTGTCCACATGCTTTCATCTCCTCCTCGCATGACCTCCTCCAAGTCACCCAACCTTCGGACGACCAACTCGCCGCCTCCCTTTCGGGTTCCACTCGAGCAATGGCTTGTCTAGTCATGTTACTTGATGGTTTCCTCAGAGTATGGCCAATCCATCTATCTCCATTTCTTCCTGCCTATTTGTTTCACAGTCGGTTCCTGATTGGTTCGCTCCCAGAGATCTCTGTTGCTGATCTTTTCTGGCCATCTGATCTTGAGTATTGAGCAAAGACAGCTGTTAATGAAGGTCTGAAGTTTGTTTGAGATGCTCTTTATGACGCGCTGGCTAAGTCTCTGATCCATATAATAGCACTGACTTGACCAAAAAGACAACCTATTGGTCAGACTAATCAGGAACAGAGAAGTAGATCATAAAATTGACATGTCAGATTAAATTTTTTCATGAGCTAAGCAAAGATTGGTGTTGAATAGAGTTAGAAATAGCCAAATCAAAACATGAAAATAATCTATAAAGTGATGGAGAAAAGATTTGTAGCTCAAGTGGGGATGGCTTTGATGTAAGCGTGTTCTCTGAGCTAGCTAGCTAGCTGACTGGATGGTTTATTTGCAAAGCTTTCATTGTTGCCCTACTGCTAAGCAACATCTTTAGCGCATACTTCACTTCAATTTGAATTGAAGTGAGCTCTTTTCAGATTTCTTCACGAGTTCACTATTAGTCATCTCTCCTGGTGACCACATTGAATGTGACTCTCCGGTTGTGTTTGATATGTTTTCATATCTTCTAGACTGCTACTTGTATTGGTATTGGTGTTGATTGTTTCTTTGACTTGAATTTAGACCCTTTGTGTGTGTGAGATCTCTTTCTTATCGGTTGGTAAATTTTGTCTATCTCGATGTGTCTATTGATTGACGATTCACTGGAATACCTGGTGGGCTTCTAAAAAACTTCTCTGGCTAGCATTCTTCGTGTCTATTCTGTCAACTGTTTGAACGTTGGTTGTCCCAGTCGAATTGATGTCTGTGGTTGTCTATATGCAGCGATATGAAGGAGGGAGTGGATGTCATGTCTTTTGAAGGCTAGTTTATGTTCATGGATACGAAGAACGTGAAGATGTTGCCTAGTAGTAGGGTAATAATGAAAGCTTTGCAAATAAACCATCCAGTCAGCTAGCTAGCTCAGAGAACACATCTGGGCTACAAATCTTCTCCATAATATCTAAATTTTTCAAGCGAAGAATATATATATTATTTACAAATTCTTGTCAGTAACAGATACACCACAGGGTGTCAATTGATTCTTTTTACTAATAGTTCTTATCATTGTAACAGATTATTGATTCGATTCACATGATCCATATATATATATATATATATATATATATATATATATATATATATATATCACGTTACAGCTTTACTTCATTTAGTCAGAAAGCAATTCATCATTAGGACTTCTATATGTCAACCATTTCAAATCATAAATTAATATCAACAGCCGGCAGTAAATCGTATCAATCTCTCCACATACCAAAACTTATTCCTTCTGGTACTCAAGAGGTTGATGTGAAACATACTCATATAAACACCAATCAAAATCACCACCATCATAAACATCAAGACAACAACACCGAGGACAGCGTCAAATCCTCTAGAGAAATTCAGGCAAAAACCAAGAACCTTCGGTCTCTATCTGATTACTAGCAAGACAAATCAACAGAACAAGGCATCAAAATTACACATCAGTCTAAATTACAAAGTATTACATCATAAGTATGGTGTAGTATTTCGAAATGCGACTTCTTCATCATCATCGATTCATTGTCATTTATTACCGATTAGTTATCTAACAAACGATACTTCAGTGAGAGATCATTTTCCACGTGAAATTACCACAGACAGACTACAGGCACTACTTCTGCCCAGCCCTAGTCAACAACCACGGTTAACACATCATCCAAGGGCAGCGGATGAACATGTTAAGCGGAAATGTATGACATCTTCTCTTCAGAGAAAAGCGCTGAAATCGCCAGAATTACAAGCGTATAGTGATGAGTATCGCAAGGAAAGAATGCGGAAGCAAATCACCAGGTTATCCGCCGATATGAAACCATTTTTATCCTCATCTCCCTTGAATGGAATTCCTTATGAAGTGAGTCGTTTAAAATTTTTCTATGATTCAGTGTACCAATGTAATTTTCCAGCAATCAAGTATATTTTAGATCGTCAGGCGAATCTAGTGCTGAAAGCGATTGAACCGACTAGTGGATATTCTTTTCTACTCGTTGCCTTACTATACATTCAATCCGCAGTGAAACGAATAAAATTAATTCAATTATTTATGAAATATTTAAAAAATATCTTCACAATGCGTCGTCGAATGATGAAGATATCAGTGAGAATGGGATCTGTGAACAAGTGCTTCAAGCGATTGATCCTATCCATGGACGTGATTGTATCGCCTGGTCATGTGTGTTAGGCTATGCTAGAGAGTTTCACCTATTATTCACCCACTTAGTGACTAGTATTAATTTGCAGAAATTAGATTATCATGGAGATACGTATTTACATTTGGCGCTAATAGGCGGTTCATTAGATATTGTCAATGAGATATGTCAATATGTGAGCAAGTATTCTATACCAATCGATAAATGTATGAATCAGTCTGGGGATAATCGATTCATTTGGCTGCTCAGCTGAAGTTTGATGCAGCATTAGGCATGTTAAAGCGATGTCAGATAGATAAAAAAACATTGGGATGACAGACAGCGCAAGAAGAACACAGGATAAACTGACGTCATTCATTTACTATATTCCGCTGGTTCTTGTCGGCTAGTTGTATCAAAAACCAAACATAAAGAATTTTAATATAAATATATGAAATATTCAAAAATGCTTTAGTTGTTTTTGATTATTGTTGTCGGAGGTTGTATCAGCCTCGACGTCCTGTATGGTCCTTGTTGACTTCCGCCATCTCCGGGTATCCGGCGCGGAAGTTTGTTCTGCGCGAGATATGATCGGTGAAAGTAGAAGACTAGCTGTCTTTGATCATAGGTGTCTGCGTTCCATCACCCATGCTATTTGGTAGTATAATATGGGGAGTAATATTTGAGGTTATGCTTCGTCTCTTGGGTACGGAGGGGAAATCTATCGATGGGCGTTGTGAAACTATATTGACTGAGATGGTTAGGGAATGTGTTACGCATGCCTAGCTAGCCATCGCCTTCCTCGACGAGAGATGTTAGCTGAGATAGAATCAGGTTAGGAAAAGGTTAGAGGTGATCAAAAACCAACCCATAGCATCAATTTATGAAGTCCTTGACAGTTAGTTTGAGGCCGGCAGGGAGGAGGAAGGAGATCTCTTCAATGTCACCCTCGGATTGACAACCCACTTGTCACTTCCCATTGATATTCCACTCGAACAATAGCCTAGGTGGAGCGCAATCTCATTCGGTGGCCTCTTCAATGCATGCCTGGTCAATGCATATCCACTTTCTCCTACATATTTGTTGAGCGATCGGCTCTTGGTTGGTCTGTTCCACTGCAGAGTTTCTTGTTGTTTATTCTTTCTGGCTGGCCATTTTATCTTCAGTAGGGAGCCAGCCATAGAAGTGGGCAGTAGTTGATGAAAGTCTGCGACTGGCTGTTGGAAATGCTTTCGATGACACACACACGAATTGCAAATTTCTGACCCGTATAGAAGGACCGACTTCATATTAGTATTGAAAATGTGAATCTTGTTCCTTATACTGACTGACTGCAGAAGATTTCCTAAGTGAATTCAGGTTGATGAAGGTATATCTTGCCTTCCCGATCTTAACCTTGATACCTTCATCCGTTTCCACTGCCTATGATTGAAACGATGCTGGCTGCTCAGATAAATGAAGGAGGTAACCTCTGTTAAATCTCTCCCGTTGATGGTGATTGGCGCTGCTGCTGGTTGTTGTTGCTGTTGCGGTTCGTTAGTTATCTTCGTCACCTGCTTATTTGGGGCCACATATTCCACATAACTTACATTTGAAAAGTCATAACCGCTGGTCATTAAGTCGTCTGTACATTAAAACTCTTTCAGATAAATTAAAGTTTAAGACAGCTGCAGGTTGCTACGTTCCCCTCCCACCTGAAGCAATCGCCAATAAACTATAAAAAACTCAAACGAAGTCGTTGTTCATCCTGTTTTCCTTACCTCTTATTTTTGTGATTTATCACCAACCCTAATTCTATTATGAGTAAAATTTATTTTGATAAAGTCTCACAGTGTTGTTATACTGTAAGTGATATTTAACTGATGACCATGTTTCCAGCTCAATTGATTACTGCTCATAATCATATCAAGGCACTACTCATACAACTTTTTAACTTCGTTTATGTAATCCCATTATTTTTCATTGCTTGATTTGATTGGTAGCATGAGTGATCAGTCATTCCTGTTATACGTGTCGCGTATAGATTCTTTGACGAACAAGGATTCAGTAATCAACCTCTCTCTCTATCTCCACCTACCTATATTACTTCTGAGAATTTTAACCCTCTCCCACCCATTTTGTTGTGTGTTAATGCATACAGTGCAGTTGCTGAGCTTTTTTCTAAATTACCCATCTTCTCGAGTGGGGTCAACCATTCTTACCTTAGCTAAATTCTTATGTTCTGACAACCTGACTACCCCCGACCTACTAGTTGGATTTATGTAGGTGATCTCACTCACAGTCATTGCAGGGTATTTTGAAAAATTATATTATTTATGTCTAATTAGGTCAATCGACGAGGTCCTATAGCCTACAGAGAGAGCTTGTCCTACCTGAGTGAGTTTGTAGGTTTGAATGCCACCACTCTAATTCCTGCTTTATTAAGAATCCTACGTGAAGAGTGTTTCAGATGTCCCCTCCTAATATGGTAAAACTACTGTAGATGCCTTATATTCTTTCTTATTTATGTTAGTTATCATTACTAGTTCCACAATTATTTCAATTTTGCTTTTGGTCTTTTCTGATCTTAAAAGTTAGAAAGTTCTGTGGTGGATAGTGCCTTGAGATATGATTATGAGCAGCAATGATAAATTGTGCTCAAAACTTTGTAATCAGTAAATATTCCAGTGACTGCATACTAATGAAGAGTCCAAAAGTGGGCTGACGAAACAGCTACTTGTCCAGTACTCCCTGGCAGGTTTTCCAATGGTTCTCTCTAACTAATGTCAGCCAGTTCATGATGATGAAAATCCTGTAACCAATCAATCAAATCCCTACAACAAACCAAAACACTGAAATATCACTGTACTGTATAAAAAAAAACACTGTGAAACTTTATCAAAATAAATTTTACCCCCATAATGGAATTATACTCTGCTACCACAGAGTTCACAATTTTTGTTTGTTACATCATCAACTCCTAATTCTGTCTTTATCTATATATATATTCATGACTTCTGTTCAGTTAAATTATTTAATTCTTATGTAAGTAAATAAGTGTCTGCATTGATTTTTTTTTATTTTATCTCTATTCAATTTTCAACATTCTTCCGTAATTCTAAAATATTCCTTCCAATCATTTTTATCTATACAACCTAACAAGTTTAACAAGGACTTTTATTGTTTTTTGCAGTATGCTGTTGAATCACGTGGGTAATTAATAATATATCTTGCACCTTTATAATCATTGATAATTAAAGTATACGAGTATTTTCGAATATATTAATGTGAATTTGTTTATAGGTATGTGTGTGTGCGTGTGTGCTGCTAACGAGGACCGACAAAGTATTATTATTATTATTGTTCCCTTGGGTTCCTAGTGGAACGAACATAAGGCTTCAACTGCACGTCTCCACTTGCCACTTTTCTGTCTTCTGCTGTACTTTTCACCTGCATCCATTGCAGTCCTCTTCACACGATCTTCTACATGTCACCCTTGCACTGACGACGACCCACCCATTCACCGTTTCACTTTCAGACTGAATCTACTCGAACGATGGCATGACGTGCGCGCGATGTCACCTAGTGGCGGTCTCCTCAGCCACGAGTGTCCAATCCATCTCCACTTTCTCATGGATATTTGCTGCTGTTTGGCGATTGGTTCTTGTTTTGTTTGTTCCCATAGTTTTCTTGTTGGTGATTCTTTGCGGCCCGACCACGTGATTGATCTTCAGTATAGAGAGAGAGAGAGAGAGAGCGAAGACAGTTGTTGATAGAGGTCTGAGTTAGTCTGTTGAAAATATTTTTTGTGACCTGCCCGCCAAGTTTCTGATCCGTATAGAAGAACTGACTGAATTGACGTTAGTATTAAAAATCCAAATTTTGTTGTTGATGTTGAGTGACGAAGATTTCCAGATTCTGTCTGTCTGTTTTCGACATAGAACCTTACACAAATGTGCGGAAGTTCTAGTCGCCACACACCTCCATGTATCACACAAAGTAAGAGAAAGAAGTACAAGAAGAGCATAACAGAGACAGTAAACAGAGGTGTGAGACAAAGGAATAGTAATAACGAAGAACAAAACAGTTTCATTGGAAATCATAAGTCACAAGGAGTGGATGCATCTTAGCCAGCCACTGAGAACGATTTTGAGCCATGTCACCAATTGTTTCCAACCATAGATTTTTACCGTCCCGAGGACCCCAGCCTGGAAGTCTACACCTTCCTACGTGGCTTAGACCAACTGTTGTGGATTTCATTGACTGATGCCAAGTTTTTGTTTGACCGCCGCTAGCTTTTTTCCAGCCTGACCCTACATCCGCTAACATTGCTCGTCGAGGGAGGCGATGACTAGGCATGCACGCTTAACACATGTCCTAACCATCTCAGTCTTTGTAACTTCACGACTTCGTCGATTGATTTCCCCTGCTTATCTAGAACTCTACGCCTAACCTCCATGTTGCTCACCTTATTATGCCACTTTACACGGGAAATAGAACGCAGACACCTATGATCAAAGACAGCCAGTCTTTTCATGTCTTCCACTCTCAGTGGCCAGGTCTCACAGCTGGCCATAAAGGAGGACGGAGCGGACTGATGAGCAGTACACCCGCCCTTTGGTCGATAGTTGAACATCTCGTCTACGCCAGAGTCGGCGTAAACTGGCAAATGCGAAACGAGCCCCCTGTATTCGTGCTGAGATTTCGTCAGATTGGTTTCAGGTTGGTTGATGAATGTGAGTGTGCAGTCATCTGTTCACGGTTCACGCACTCATGGAAATCAGTGAAAATCATCCGAGGAAGCATCTTAGCAAAATAAAAAATGTATATGCAGTTGACAAATTGCTTCTTTCACCCCTCCCTCCCTCCACCCACCCTTAGCATAAAAGACTGATATTACACTTATTACATAGTAATAATGACAATAGTAATAGTAGTAATAATAGTAATAGTAATGATAATAATAGTAATAATAAAAATAATATTATTAATAATAAAGGAATAAATATACTGCAAAATATATTGCAATAACAAATTTCACTTTACTGGATATTGGATGATACAACTGAAAGCGAAAAAGTGCCTCCCGGAGTGTGTGTGTAAAGCATGGCAAAGTCAGAAGAAAAACTGTTAGCACGGGGACCAAGAGGAGGAGTTGGTGGGAGTGAAGAACATGAATACATGGAAAGAAGTTTAGAAAATAAAAGCGAATATATAAAGTAATTCGCATAAGTCAATTCCATGTCAGAGACAATACAGGCACGCACAGACGCACTCACATCCATACACACACACACACACACACTAATATTGGAAGAAAGTCTGACACCGGTATTTAACAGATGACTTATTATACCCCATCTCATAGGGTAGTATCTGCACCCCACCCCCGTAATCCATTGAATAAGAAAAAACACAGTGATATAAATAAATGTAAAGCATTGAAAGTTATTCATATCAGTGCACATTATATTAAACCTCTTTGAAAGTCATCGACCATGGACCGCGTCTTTGAAGTACAGAACGTAGAATTTTCTAAAAAGTTAGTGGAAAAACACAGTGAAGCATAAGAAAAGAAAGAAAATGGTTAGAGGGAATACATATATATATATGATATGTTAACTGAGCAGTTAGTTAGTCAATAAATAAAGCAAGAATTACAGTGGTTTGTGCAGAATAAAGTTGCTACCATCATTGTTTATTTTCCGGGCTTTTCATCAGCTGCTTACAGCGTAAGGTAATCATTGATCCAAGTGTTGGTTTCTAGGCATTTGATTGGTTACAGGGTTTCATCACTGAAAAACCTGGGGGTACTGGACAGCTGTTTCGTCATAGTTTGGGACTCTTCAGCAGTACGCAGCTACACCCCCAGTTTTTGAACCAATTACCTTCTGGTTACAAGGTGAGCTAGCTCGTAGACCATTAAGCCACTGGGACCTAATCCAATAGCCCATGAATTCTAACTTCTGCTAATTCACGACATAGCGCGACCCCTGGCCAATGTCTTCGGCGAGTATTTGCCATGCGTTCGAATACCGGCGGGTGCGTGCTGATGAAGAGTCCCAAACTAGGTTGGAACAGCTTTCCAGTACTCCCAGGTTTTCCAATGGTTCTCTAACTAATGTCGACTCATGATGAAATCCTGTAATCATTACTAATTGCTGGTATTAGTTGGTTGGAGGAAATCACCAACCAGGGTTGTTTGACCAAAGTTTCGTCCTAGTTGGCAGTCAACAGCTAGCAAGGCGGCCGTATCTGGAACCTTGAGGAATTCATCCTCAGTGTCAACGCCTCTCACTACAGGCAGCACTGGGTGATGCGAGTTCGAATCTCAGTAGAGACGTGAGCTCCTTCAGGGTTGCTGATACACCTACCTTCCTAGCTGGTGATTGCAAACACAAGCATCAAATCTAAGTCCAAAGCAGGGCTTCCTGCCACTTGTTGTATGCTTTATAAGAAATTTTATCCCGTGTAGAAATTTAAACAAAGGTGTGAATATTAATTTCAATTTGAAATTTCCCCGTCGATTAATTGGACTGGACCGAAGTGCTCGGTCTCAGGCTGACATGTCGGCTTCTTGTTCAGATGCTTCAACGACGTCTCGGAATACAATAAGTAGTTACATGGTGGATAGTGACTAGCAGTGAGATCCAGGACAAAACACATTTCGTCCTTTTTAGGACTCGTCAACTGGGAGGATGCACCTGAATTCCTCATTATAAACTTGACTTAAATAATGCAGATACATCCATCTAGTTGACGAGTCCAAAATAAGATGAAATGCGTGTCACTCTGGTGGATTCCACTTCTAGTCACCATCCACCAATTCACTTCAAAGGTGTGTGAATACTTAAAACAGGTTAATGTGAAATACGATTAAAATGTTCATGATGATAGAGTCATGGCTGGTTGGTTCAATATCATCATCAAGCGATAAAACAAATTACGTCATATACAAAACAAAATAGTTCATAGGACGGTATAGATTTTGGAAAGTGATATTATTTACAATTAGTAGGAATTATTAGGGAATTGAACAAAAACACACCACTTTACAAATGATGATGATGATGATATGTTTGATAAGATAGATTTCAACACTTTCATGGAATGCATTGTGATTGTAACTGATTGAAAATGGCCATTAACACATTATTTCTTCAAAAGATTGGTCACTTAAATAAAGAATATTCTTTTTGCGATAACCTGCTCCCCTTCATCAGGTTCTACAGTTGAATGAATTAGTGTTATTTAAACAACGACATTAATGTCGTTGTTTAAATAACACTGAATCAATAATAATATTAATATCCATAGATTACAGTTCAATAGTATCAACATAACAATAAACTGAAGTCACAAAACACATTAGGAAAGATAATAATACAAATTCATGAATGTATAATCTCCACTGAAGTCCGGCCGGGGCAGTAAGAGTGCCCCTCACTGGACTTGCTTTTTTTGCACACAGAGCACCAGTTGTTTAGGACGAATCACGATAGCTTCTGCTGTTTAGAGTATGCGGCTACTGGATGTTTTCAGCAATTTGTTTAGTACCCGATAGACGATAGAGAAGGATTCTTCAATGCTGGTTGACTGGCTGGCTGGCTTTGTGGCGCATTGGATCAGATGGTCTAATATCGAGGTGTTGACGGTTTTTACTACACCTTTGTTTGGCCACACAGGTAAATGTTCCTGAGTGAGCAGGAAAAATTGAGTTCACAGAGTAACGGTCAATACAAGACGCTCCATCAACAAGCGCAGTTGAATTGGTGGATTTACACTTGGAAGTGGCAAGTCTAGTCTAGGTACTCCATCTTTCAGTTGAGGGAATCACCACCGGTCATTAAGAAAATAAGGCTTGTAGTGTCAATGCAGTTGAAGATTGAACGATCAATTCATAGTTGTTTGCTCAAAACCAACTTCCCCAATTTTCGCGGAGGCATCAATACGACAGTCATCGTCTCATCGGTCGCTGTTCAGAAAGAAGTCAGCAGTAAACCGTCAGAAGTAATATTGTGAATTATTATTGTAATATTTGTTCACAGACCTAAGTGGAAACATTTTTTATATGTTGGTGTTACAATAAAGAATTCTCGAGTGGCCAATCGGTGTTTTGGTTTTTGCGCCCGTTATTACTAAGCGTTTCTGAGAAACTTCAAGGAACAGCGTGAGCCCGAGCGTAGTAAGAGCTGGGCATTAACGGTTTACGAGACGTGGCTGACATGTAGTTTGTCAGCATTAAGAGTTCTTTGAACTGATTTTCTTAACTTCTTCGTATTTATTTTGCTAGGTATATTGAAAGTGTAATCCATTGATACTGCTATCAATATTATTGATTCGATGTTATTTTAACAGCAACATTAATGTTGTTCATAACACTGGCTCATTCATTCATTCACCATAATGTATGGTTTTTGTTTCGACTTGAATTTTCTCTGTGCAAGTGTGTCAATGTAATTTCTGTACATAAAATTTAATAACGATTTTCATTATACACTAGTCAGTAACTAGTGTAATCTGTCTGGTCTTTTCTTTGGTGCAGAATGAATTCTATCAGTCAGCCAGGTTTACACTGTAGCCACCATGCCACTAGGTAGCTCGCCATCATGGTCAGATACGCCAGGTTCTTTCCATTTTCCAAAAGTGTATACTGAACAAAGAATAATCTTTTCCATAACCCCTTCATCATCAAGCTCTACAGTCATATATAAATTATAGTGAATGAATGAATGAATGAATGAGCTAGTGTTATGAACAACATTAATGTTGCTGTTAAAATAGCATCGAATCAATAATATTGATAGCAGTATCAATGGATTACACTTTCAATATACCTAGCAAAATAAATACGAAGAAGTTAAGAAAATCAGTTCAAAGAACTCTTAATGCTGACAAACTACAAACCTTGTTTTCTTAATGACCGGTGGTGATTCCCTCAACTGAAAGATGGAGTACCTAGACTAGACTAGACTAGACTAGCCACTTCCAAGTGTACATCCACCAATTCAACTGCGCTTGTTGATGGAGCGTCTTGTATTGACCGTTACTCTGTGAACTCAATTTTTCCTGCTCACTCAGGAACATTTACCTGTGTGGCCAAACAGAGGTGTAGTAAAAAACCGTCAACACCTCGATATTAGACCATCTGATCCAATGCGCCACAAAGCCAGCCAGCCAGTCAACCAGCATTGAAGAATCCTTCTCTATCGTCTATCGGGTACTAAAGAAATTGCTGAAAACATCCAGTAGCCGCATACTCCAAACAGCAGAAGCTATCGTGATTCGTCCTAAACAACTGGTGCTCTGTGTGCAAAAAAAGCAAGTCCAGTCAGGGGCACTCTTACTGACCCGGCCGGACTTCAGTGGAGATTATACATTCATGAATTTGTATTATTATCTTTCCTAATGTGTTTTGTGACTTCAGTTTATTGTTATGTTGATACTATTGAACTGTAATCTATGGATATTAATATTATTATTGATTCAATGTTATTTAAACAACGACATTAATGTCGTTGTTTTAATAACACTAATTCATTCAACTGTAGAACCCGATGAAGAGAAGCAGGTTATCGCGAAAAAAAATATTCTTTATTTAAGTGAGCAATCTTTTGAAGAAAAAAATGTGTTAATGGCCATTTTCAATCAGTTACAATCACAATGCATTCCATGAAAGTGTTGAAATCTATCTTATCAAACATTTCATCATCATCATCATATGTGAAGTGGTGTGTTTTTGTTCAATTCCCTAATAATTCCTACTAATTGTAAATAATATCACTTTCCAAAATCTATACCGTCCTATGAACTATTTTGTTTTGTATATGACGTAATTTGTTTTATCGCTTGATGATGATATTGAACCAACCAGTCATGACTCTATCATCATAAACATTTTTAATCGTATTTCACATTGACCTGTTTTAAGTATTCACACACCTTTGAAGTGAATCGGTGGATGGTGACTAGAAGTGGAATCCACCAGAGTGACACGCATTTCGTCCTACTTGAGACTCGTCAACTGGATGGATGTATCTGCATCCTCCCTCAAGGAGGCTCAAACCCAGAACTCATAGCATCAAACGTCAAATCATTATCTACTAGACCACTTGAGCCAGGACAGCTACCTCTTGTACATATTAATTGTCATATTAATTATTTAATTGAATTTTAGAAAGTGAAATGCAGGTACATCCAGTTGCTGACGAGTCTGAAATTGGACCAAATGCGCGTTATCCTAGATTCCACTGTTAGTTACCATCTGCCAACTAACTACTAATCAAATGCTCAGACATCGTCGAAGCATCTGATTAAGAAGCCGACATGTCAACCTGAGACCGTCAACTTCGGTCCAGTCCAATCAATCGACGGTGAAATCTAAAATTAAATAAAAAATTAAATAAACCTTTATATTGGTTTTCTTACGGGATATAGCTGCTTATACATCATTCAACAATCAGCAGGAAGCCCTGTGCTTGTCTTAGGGATTTTTGGCTTGTCCGAGGAAGGCAGGTGTATCTGCAACCTTGAAACAAGTTATATCCCTTCTGAGATTCGAATCCGTGTCATCCGGTGCTGTCTGCAGTCAGAGAGACTAAGTTACCACTGATCTATTCTGCCTCGGGATGGACCTCCAGTAGGAGTGTATTGGATATTTTTGTTTGGAAACTAGTCAGTAACTAGTGTACTGTGTTCAGTCCTATCTCTGGCGTAGACTGAATTCTATCAGCCAAGTTTGCAATGTCGCCACCATGTTGGGGGGGTTGCTCGCCAATCACGGTGCACAGTGATTGATTGTTACTAGATGGTGGTTGGAGGCAATCGGCCAAAGGAAGCCTTACGTCAACTGGGTTTCGTGCTAGCTGGGACTCATCAGCATGAGGGGCGATATTCCAGACTTGACTGATAGAATTCAACACCCCCGGACTGGAGATATTACACACCAGTTACTGACTAGTGTTCAGTCAAGGAAACCAGTGAAATCAAATGAAATGACCGCTTACTTACTTCACCGTAAATTTTCATTCTCAATCGATTAACGCGTAATTGAGCCAGTTTGCTTTCTTGTATGTAAACTTGATTTTGTACATAATTCCTATATGATCTGTAAATAATAATAAGCAGTTTAAAAATATTTTTTTCTAAAGAAAAAGATCAGCAGTTTGAGAACATTAAATGAATTGAAGATAATGTACGATGCAGGATACCATTATCTATTATATATTGTACTATTATTATTATTGTCTCCTCTATTTTTTATTTTTTTTGATTTACAGCTTGATTCCACACTGTAGTTTTGGTTCAAGTATGGAATTTTCAGCATGGATATCGGTAGCCCAAATTTTGCAGGCCAACCATAGATATCAGGTGTGCGCCGGCGTGGGCTCGAACCCCGAACCATGTGCATGGTCGGCGAGAGTCCTAACCACTGTGCCACCAACGCCCTCTAGTTCCTAGAGGAACATTGGCAGGGCTTCAGCCTCACGTCTCCGTCGCGTTCGGTTCTCCAACAACGTTCTCACATGGCCCCGCGTCTGTCCACATGCTTTCATCTCCTCTTCACATGACCTCCTCCACTCCTTATCACCCTCACACTGACAACCAACTAACCCGCCGCTTCCCACTCGGCTTCCACTTGGCCGATGTTCTGTTGTGTGATGCCACTCACTTGATGGTGGTTTGTTTTCTCAGAGTATGGCCCCCAATCCACCCTTTAGGAAGAAATGGAGTTAGGTGGATCGGAGGCCATACTCTGAGAAAACAAACCACCATCAAGTGAGTGGCATCACACAACAGAACATCGGCCAAGTGGAAGCCGAGTGGGAAGCGGCGGGTTAGTTGGTTGTCAGTGTGAGGGTGATAAGGAGTGGAGGAGGTCATGTGAAGAGGAGATGAAAGCATGTGGACAGAAGTGGAGCCAGGTGATGAAAAAGTTGCTAGAGAACGGAACGCTATGGAGACGTGAGGCTGAATCCCTGCCTATGTCCCTCTAGGGACTAAAGGAGAAATAATAGTAATAGTAATAATATGTGCGTCGGTGGCACAGTGGTTAGGACTCTCGCCGACCATGAACATGGTCCGAGGTTCGATCCTCTGCCGACGCACACCTGATATCTATGGTCGGCCTGCAAAATTCGGGCTACCGATATCCATGCTGAAAATTCCATACTTGTACCAAAAATACAGTGTGGAATCAAGCTGTTATCAAAAATAAAAAAAATGTCATAAAATATCACTATGAGAAATTTCCATCCATAAATGTATTTACAAACGAAAATATAAACACAAATGAGCAATTTAATTTTTCAAATCACCAACCTGGTTTCATTTCCTGATCGTGCTGATCTTCTCCCACTGTTTGTTTTATAACTGAGAGTAGATCTATGACTTGGAACTATAATAAAAGAAAATATATGGGGATACAAGACAATTACATAAGACTCCTGTTATTTTCGTATGATACTTTATACTATTGATTGATTCAAATGAGTAGCTGGATACCAATCACATTAAAAACAGAAGTGCTTTCTAGTTAGAACGAAGTTAACGGTTATCTCGCTCATTTTCAGTCCAACTGGTTCATCAGTATGATGTGCCTGGTCTGATCCATATATCCTCACTTAATACTGAAGGTCAAATTGCTGACGGGAAAGGATAATTAACAAAGAAATTATGACAGGAAGCAGCCAGCCAGCCAGCCAATCAGTCATTAACCTAAAACCCAACAAATGTTTAGGAGGAAATGGAGACGGATTGGACGTTGTCTGGGAAAACCGCTGAGTGACGTCAAGAACCAGATAGGCTCTTGAATGGAATCTGAATAGAAAACGAAGAGTTGGAAGTGTGTCCTAAGGTGAAACAGAGAAAATCCTCTAAGGAGGAAATAACTTTTTAACCTTTGGTACTCAGGAGAAGGGGTAACCGGATTGATTTAAACCGAAAACTGATATTACAAATAAGCAATTGGACTTTCATTTGAGACGTATCAGTGACATAATCCACGATACTCTTTCACATATATGATTGATCGATGACATGATTAGATGGAGTGCATTCACACAACTAGATCGAAGTGGACATAACACCAACCAGATGGCCACTTCCATTGTTTTCAGCCAAGGTGAATCCGAAACTAGACCCAAATAATGCCTTCATCACTCGCTACTAAAGATTAGATAGATTAGTCGTCCAGGAAAGACGATCAAAAAGGAACTTTGACACTGAGGCGCTGCCAACCAATCAACAACCTGTTTCCCAACCATCCAATCACCCAACATTAATGCAAAAGGAAGTGGAATGGACGTACACTGAGGAGAGCCTCAACTGAATTCATTTACTAGGGTCTCCAGAGTGGAACTTGGATGGGGATCGACACATTTTTTCTTCAGACATTGATGAGTTGCTCCTCCGATGGTAATATGGTGGAGAAGATCCCACCAAGAGAAAAATTCAGTGGTTTATGGACAATTTTTAAAGCCAGTGATGAATGTAATTGTAACGACAGAAGACAAGGGCCAGGAAACAGATCGTTTCTTCAGAAAATCAGCAGATATTTATTGATTTTTATGTACATTATTATCAGCGGAGAAGCAACGTCTTCTGATTGGTTGTTTTCTTGGTGAAGGTTATTCTGTCTGACCCACCCATCCTTTTGTGTGGTTGTGTGTTAATGCATGCAGTGCAATCACTGCTGATATTTTTCCTAAATTACTTATCTTCATGAGATCAATCATTCTAACCTTAGTTAAATTCTTATATTCCGACAATCCGACTACTCGCGATCTACTAGTTTGACCTATGCAGTTGGCCTCACTCACAGTCATTGCACAAGGTGGGACAGAATCTAAATTCCAAGAGGTTATATATAGGTAGGCATATAGAGAGAGATTGATTACTGAATCCTGCCTCGTTCATCGAATAATCTACACCCAACACAACACAAGCAACAGAAATGACTCAATGCAAATATCAGAGATATGCATGGAAGATATTATTGCCACCAGTCAGTCAGTCAGTCAAATCAGAGGAGGATAATAAATAATCTTAAATTGTATTCTATTTCAATTCAATTCACATACATCATCACAACATTCTAACAAGTTACTTATTTATTTTGACTATCAAAACACTCGTCTTATTTCCCATCTGATTGTATTTGATTGATAACACTCATATTATTATTATTATTATTATTTCTGAATGTAGATTATCCCATATTGATTTTTATTTAATCAAATGTCTAATCATCAATTCCATTCATGTGTATGTAAATGAAGGAAGAAAGTTGTGTGAGTGACTTGATATGATTGTGAGCAATAATAATATGTGCTCGAAAGGTGGTCATCAGTTAATATTACTTACTGTATAACCACACTGTGTGATTTATCAAAATTTTATCTATAATAAAGTTATACTCTACCACCACAATGCCCAAGTTTTATACTTATTATTATTATATTATTATTGTATCCTTTAGTTCCTAGAGGAACATAGGGCTTCAGCTGCGCACCTCCATTGCCTTCGGTTTTCTACCAACTTTTTCACCCCGCTCCAAGTCTGTCCACACACTTTCATCTCCTCCTCACATGACCTTCTCCAAGTCACCCCACTTTCGGACGACCAACTCGCCAATCCCTTTTCGGGTTCCACTCGAGGGCCTGTCTAGTGATGTCACTTGATGGTTTTGTCAGAGTATGGCCAATCCATCTATCTCCATTTCTTCCTGCATAATTGTTTCACAATCGGTTCCTGATTGGTTCGCTCATTGCCAGAGATCCCTGTTGCTGATCTTTTCTGGCCATCTGATCTTGAGTAGTATTGAGCGAAGACAACTGTTAATGAAGGTCTGTAGTTTGTTTGAGATGCTCTTTATAACTCGCCAAGTCTCTGATCCGTATAGTAGCACTGACTGACTTCACATTAGAGTTGAAAATCCAAATCTTATTTTTGATCCTTAGTGATGTTGACCTCCACACAGATTTGAGAGTAATGAAAGCTTGTCTTGCTTTTCCGATTCTGGCTTTGATATCCTCGTCAGCTCCGCCTGCCTGTAGTTGAAACGATGCTTATCACAATTATTATTCTTTCCTTAGATTCCAAATGGAGCACATGACTTCAACAGAAAATTCTCATTTCCTCCTGATTTCTGCACAGTCTCCTCTCTAGCTGGCTGCTTTACAATTGGCCTATTAACTATCACTTTCTCCTCTACACACACACACACACACACACACCATCTTCACTATGTAACCCTCAAATCCCCACCCCAACTTCTCGTTTTTTCTACTCGAATTCTACTCGAGAAACTGGCCTGGTACATCATGATGTCCCTCAACAGTCCCACTCATCAGAGTGTATCCACAATCTATCTCCATTTCCTTCTACAAAAATATGTTTGCCGACAGGTTGTTCTCGGTTGATTCTTGTTCCCAGCACTCTTCATTCTGACTATCTAATCTTCAGCAGTATGAAATGATGGCAACTGTTGATTAAAAACGTATGCACTAGCCTATTTAAATTCATCAAAACGCCTTTTTGTGACAGACACGCCTCTGAGTCTCTGAACTACGACGATAGAAGGGCACTGACTGACTTGATATGACATTGGTGTTGAAAATGCCAATCTTCTTCTTTATACTGAGTACAGTCCATTTCCACATAGATATAAGAATAAAGAAAGGTCTGTGTCTTGCCCCTTTCTTCGAATCCTCGCTGACATTGACATCTTCACCCGTCGTAGTTGAAACTATTCTCCTTAGATAAGTGAAAGAATCGGCGACTTTTGCTTATTGTTATTTATTATTATTATTGTTCCCTTGGGTTCCTAGTGGAACATAGGGCTTCAAACTGCACGTCTCCACTTGCCACTTCTGTCTTGCTTCTGCTGTACTTTTCACCTGCATCCATGTTACTCTATACTGTTTCAACTCCTCTTCACACGATTTCCTCCATGTTACCCTCGTATCGACGTCCCACTCGCCGCTTCCCTTTCGGCTTGGTTCCACTCGAGCAATGGCCTGACGCTCGCGCGATGTCACCAACCGGCCTCCTCATGCATATTTGTTAGGCGATTGGTTCTTGTTTTGTTTGTTTGTTTCCATAGTTTCTTGTTGGTGATTCTTTCCGGCCCAGCCCAGCCCAGCCATCTGATTGATCTTCAGTATGGAGCGAAGACAGTTAGTTATTGATAAAGGTCTGCAACAGGCTGTTGGAAATATTCTTTGTGACCCACCCGCCAAGTTTCTGATCCGTATAGAAGAACTGACTGACTTCACGTTGTTTGTATTGAAAATCCAACCGAATTTTGTTGTTGATGCTGAGTTGAGTGACGAAGATTTCCAGATTGATTTCAGGTTCATGAATGTGTTTCTCGCCCACCACCCGATTCTCGCTCGATTTGACATCCTCGTCCGTTCCACCTGTGGTTGAGGCGATGCTCCCTAGATAAGTGAATGAAGTAACCTCTTTCAAATCCCTCCCGTTGATGGTGATTCGCGTTTGATGTTGTTGTTGTTGTTGGCTGGTTATTTTCATAACATCCGTCTTGTCTATGTTCACCTGGAGTCCTGTCTTCGCCGACTGCTTCTTCGACCGATTTGTCGGTTTTCGCTTGTAAGCCTTCGATTTTGTGTGTGTGACACCAAACATAAATCATCCACGCGCGAAATCCAGGTCTTCTAGGTTCTCCACGTTGTTCCAGAATATCGCCGTCTTCTCGTTTCCCACTCACTGTCTGACGCATAATCCGGTCAGTCCACCAAAATTAGGAATATCATCGGTGATAATAAGCACGCTTGTCTGACTCCTGTGTTTACTCCAAACTCCTCGCTGAGTTTTCCGCTGTGGATCACTTGACATGTGCCGCCGTTGTGGTACAGCTATTGAATAAAGTTGATGAATATTCGGGGTACGCTGTAGTACTCGAGTAGTTTAAAAATTACTTCACGGTCAACGCTGTCTGTCGAAGGCTTTCTCGAAGTCTATAAAGTTGAGGTGGAGGTTTGATTGCCATTCCATGCTTTTTTCTGTGATGATGATGCGCAGAATTGCAATTTGGTCAGAACATGATGGCAGTATATATCTTCATCACCCTTGGCTTCTCTTTGTTCACATGAAGTCCTGTTTTCATAGCCTGCCTCCTCTACCAACTTGCTGGTTTTCATCTGCAGTTCCCCGAGTTAGTGTGACATTTTGATGTGGCTTTGTTCTCTAGGCTGGATAGTTAATTTGCGAAGCTTTTATTGCCCTACCAGGCACCATCTTCAGCGCATACTTCAATTTCAAGGAATTAAGCTTTTAGATTTCTCCACAGGTTTTTAAAAAATCTCCACTGTTGACTTTGGACGTGATTGGTTGTTTTTGAGTTTTCACACCTTCTAGGTTACTTGTATTGGAACTGATTGTTTCTTTGACTTGAGCTTTGACCCTTTGTGTGTGAGGTTTCTTTCTTATCGGTTGATAAATTTTGTCTATCTCGATGTGTCTATTGATTGATGGTTCACTAGAATACCTGGCGGGCTTCTAAAAATTATCTGGCTAGCATTCTTGTTGTTTCCTCTGTCTAATATTTGAACGTTGGTTGTCCCAGTCGAATTGATGACCGTGGTTGTCTGTATGTAGTGATATGAGGGATTGGATATCACTACAGAAAGTAACCTCGGTCCTCATCAACTGCGTACAACCAATAACTTTTAATAGAACGAATTATCTTTTTAAGGACTAGTTTGTAGGAATTCAATTTATTTCAAGTTTGATCACTGACTGACAACAATTATAGAACCATTGGAGAACCAGAGAGTACTGCACAGCTGTTCTAGTTGGGGACTCTTCGTCAATATCCACCCACCAGGGTTCGAACCCAGGACTTTCGGGTTACACGGTAAGTTTGTAGACTGCATTCAGCTACTGGGTCAATCATGTCGGATGTCAGGATAAATACTCGCTGATAACACTGACTGGTGCTTAGATCGCAAATTGGTAGAAGCTGGAATTCATACGTCATTGGGTTGGGTCCCAATAGCTGAATCGTCTGTGAGCTCACCTTTTAAATGGAAGGTCCTGGACTGGAAACCCGGTGGGTGCATGCTGCTGAAGAGCCCCAAACTAGGTTGAAACAAATGTCCAGTACTACCTGGTTTCCCGATGGTTCTCTAATTGATTCCAACTCACTATCAAAACCCGTAACCAATCTAGTCCTTGCAAACCAACACCTAATAATTCCATTTATCCCAAAATGTTGTGTGGGAGTTCGTAATTACCAAACATGACAATTTAACAATTTGAAAATAATATTTCTAGTATACAAACAAAACTATTTAGTCTTACGGTTTACTGAAGCTTGTCGAACATCCTTTCTAGAGCTCATAGGATTTAAGCAGCGGTTATCATCACCACCCCAACCGCCACCATCACCATTATTACTTCTGTTTGACTGTGCAGTTTGATTATTCGAATTTCGAAAACAATGAACACAACAATTACTGATATCTCGCCAAGTTGAACGATCACCACGACGACTGCCACCAACACCACTTTCAAAACCACAATGACATGGATCAACTTTAGACAAGTGTGAGCTGAGCGGTCGTCTAGTGTATTGATCCGATAAAGTTGGATGAAAGAGTTGGGTACGTTCCATATCCATTGCCTTTTGATAACGTCGTTCTGCTGAGGCTAAATGCAACCGTTTTTGACGTTCTTCACACCGCGATATCCAGGCGGACATACGTTTTTTAAAAAGCGTTTGTATATTGCTTTCAGCACCATAAATATTATCTCGAATTTCATAGGTTATTCTTTTAGATATTGGGGAATTCTTTTGTCCAGGGTGTAAATCTACCACCACCCCATCAGTGATGCTAGATGAAAAGCTTTCTGTGTCTTGATGTTGATTGCATCTCATTTTGGTTATTATTGATGATTTGAGTGTTTCAGGTTTTTCTAAAAGAGAGAGAATATAAGGCATCCACTGTTATGCCATATAAAGAGGGGACATCTGAGACCCTCCGACGTAGGATTTGTAATAAAGCAGGAATTAGGGGGGTGGCATTCAAACCTACAAACTCATTCAGGTAGGACAAGCTCTGTAGGTTAAAGCACCCTGTCGGTTGACCCAATTTAACAAAATAATATAATTTACAAAATACCCTGCAATGACTGTGAGGGAGGCCAATTACATAAATCAAACTAGTAGGTTAGGGGTACTCAGATTGTCAGAACATAAGAATTTAGTGGCTAAGGTAAGAATGGTTGACCCTGAAAAGATAAGTAATTTAAAAACAAGGTCACCGATTGCACTGCATGCATTAACACACAACCACACAATAGGGTGGGTGGGAGAGGATTAAAATTCTAAAAAAGTAATCTAGGTAGGTGGAGAGAGAGGTAGTTGATTACTGAATCCTTGTTCATCGAGTCTACACCAAACACATGCAATAGGAATGATTCATCACTCATACCTGAAATATGGAAAATACTACTGCCAATCAAATCAAGCGAAAATCAAGTGAAAAATAATGGAACCATATAAATACAGTTAGGAAGTCATGTGATTACCTTGATATGCTTATAAGCAATAAACTGTGCTCGAAACGTCATCAGTAAACATTACTGTATAACACTGACAGTTTATCAAAACAAAATTTACCCAAAATGGGATTACACTCTAACACAGTGCATAAGTTTTATTCCTATATCATTTTCTGAAAAAGCAATATTTTAAAAACCCTGACAGTTGACAAGAGTTAGTAGTGTTTGTAGGGGCTTGATTAGTTTGCAGGAGGTTGAGCACAGACTGATGTCAATCGAAGAACCATTTTACAACCAGAGATGGGGGGAGAAGTTAGAATCCCATGGGCCAGTCTCACTGGATCAGATATCAACAGCTGAATTGCGGGGTACACGAACTTACTATATCTAACCGGAAGGTCCTGGAGGTTCAAACCCCAGTGAATGCGTACTGCGGAAGAATTAAAAAACCATGATGAAACAGGTGTTCACTACTCTTTAGTTTAACATTGGTTCTCTAATTAACATCAATCTGTAATCAAAGCAAAATGGATATCTCATTAGACAACCCTTCCGTATCTTTGCTAAGATTTTGTCGTTAGCCAATCACTAAATCTAGGCTGATACACCTGTCCATTAGCATAGGGGATTAGCACACTCACTACCTACCATCTATCTTTGAACTAGGAGTTGGGGCATACCATTCTTACAACACTAAACATAATCCGACTCTTACTCAATACGTTCTTCAAAGGACTATTTTGTCAGCAACTCCACTTAATGGGACAGTGTCAACTGCACGCTGTAGATTCCTGATACACTAAATTTGACCTGGCATCATTCTCCATCAAGCTCAAATGATCACTCTTCATAACCCATGTGCGTCGGTGGCACAGTGGTTAACACTCTCGCCAACCATGCATATGGTTCGGGGTTCGATCCCCCGCCAACGAACACCCGATATCTATGGTCGGCTTGCAAAATTTGGGCTACCGATATCACATGCTGAAAATTCCATACGTGTAACAAAAATACGATGTGGAATCAAGGTGTAATCAAAAAATAAAAAATAAATAGATTGTTATGTACTGGTGCTGAGTAGTTAATCGTAGTTTTCCCCGTCGCCAATTATGTTATGTACTCGTCAAGTAGTGAATAGTCCTGACGCGGATAGAGGGAAATCAGAAGACCACCAGGTTTACGATGATACTTGTATTTTCCAAAACGTGGAAAATAAATGTCACACTAGTGTGTGAGTGAAATGGTATGAATGTACGAAAAAGTTTGTGAGCCAAAATAATGATAAAATGTACAATGCAAAGTACATATGAAAATGACTAATACACATGAACCAATAAGATAATATCTTACCATGAATGGTTGTTATGTCATATGATAACAAGGTCATACATGTTTATTTAGTTAGTGGACAGACTAAAGCATATTGTCAGTTATAATGGGGTATCGATCCATATACCCATAGCAAAAAATAATAGACTGTCAACAACAAAACACACACATGTGGATACATATCATAGATATCACTATTTAAAACAATTAGTTCCTTTTATAAATTTTGATAGCGTTATTAGAAGACAGAGATTATCTGAAAAAGGTGATGTGATGTATTTGCGCTATATATTTTGAACAATCTGATCACATACACATTTACTTGTCAAGTCAATGTATATGGAAAAGTTAAATTAAACAAAGTGACATAAAAGAATGAAAAATATTTAATTGCATGGAGGATTTAATCATGAGCTGACATCAGTTAGAGAACCACTGGAAAACCTAGAAGTACTGGACAGCTGTTTCCCCCGTCCTAGTTTGGAACTCTTCGTCAGTACGCACCCACCGGGATTCGAACACAGGACCTTCTGGTTACAAGGCGAGCTCGTAGACCATTGAGCCACTGGGACCCGATCCGATGGTCCTGGAATTCTAACTTCTGCCAATTCACGACATAGCGCGACCACTTCGCAATGCCTTCTTCGATGAGAGTTACTGCCTTATCTTCAACCTGCTGTACCCTACTGGTAACGGTTTCCCACTAGAACCCCAGGTTAACTGCCTGAATAGGACCAGTCATGATGTCAGCTCATGATTAAATCCTCCATGCAATCAAACAAAATCCCTACAAAACCAATACTTGAAAAAAATATTTAACACAAACGTTTAGTAATCCAATCACATAAGGATTACCAAGGTAGGTTAAGAGTAATAGCAAACTGTTTTTGAATACCCAGTGTTGGGGAGCTTCAGTTTATAAATAGCTATAGCGTCGGCGTATTTCCATAAGCTCCCTTGCAGCCCAGCTTGTAATTGTCGAAAAAGCTAAAACAACCCAATAGATGCAATTGTCAGACTACCAACTTCGTCTATAGCTGAACACCTAATCGAGATGGATCATAAGATTGATGTTAACTCAGCCTTTAAGGTCATCTATAAAAACGGTCAAGGGCGCTTACTGAAATACGCTGAGACTATAGCTATTCATAAACTTAAGCCCACCCCCCAACACTGGGTATTCAAAAACAGTTTGCTATTACTCTCAACCTAACTTGGTAATCCTTATTTGATTGGATTACGAAACGTTGTGTTAATCATTCTTAAATCCTTCTTCTTGTCACTTTGTTTAATTTAACTAACTTTTCCATATACATTGACTTGACAAGTAAATGTGTGTGTGTGTGTGATCAGATTGTTCGAAATGTATAGCGGACATACATCCCACATTGTTTTTCAGATAATCTCCTTCTTCTAATCACAACGCTATCAAAATATCACTATACAAACAACAACAACAACACGATTAAATCATCAAAGTAGATTTTCTGACGACTTCATAAGATGTGTAGGGGGTATTTGTTATGTACTAGTTTCCCCGTCGCCAAATTGTTATGTACTCGTCGCTAAATTATTGTTATGGACTGGTCGAGAAACTAATAGTCCTGACGCGAGAAGGCGGAAATCAGAAGACCACTAGGTTTGCGATGATACTTCTATTGTCCAAACACAAGGAGACGAAAATAAATGGTCTCACACCAAAGTGGTAAGCAAGTCAAGTAGTTGTAAAGTAAAGGAGTTCACACAATTTGTGAATGCGAATATATATAAATAATTCAGACAAGCGTGGGAAAAATCATTAGACAGTCTTAACATGAATGGCTAATTATAATGGAGTGTCGATCCAATTATACATAGTGAATATAGCAGACATGCCAACAAACATATATGGATATATGTCACCAAGCAACGGACTGTCAACAAACACTCATATTATATATAATATAATATAAGGAGAATACACATTATTAAAGGAGACAAGTCCATACAAGTGAAGTGGTCACAGACTAACCGAGCAAACAGAAAGAGAGACCAACATGCACACACACACATAAATATATATATGTGGATACATATCACCTCCCCTTTTGAGAAGATGAATGATTAGTAGGATGTTTACCTGGGGGTTTATCTGGGACCTTTGGGCTTGTTGTTGACGCCTGTCGTTTCGTCTGATTGTTGGGTTTGCGGCTTCGGCTCCGTCCGGAATTGTCTAGCATTTTATGCTTCTTCACTGTATTGCGTAGAGAATTTAGTGGGACATCAGCCAGATGCAAACGATCGAACCAATCAAGTCCCAAAACATTTAAATCATTCTTCGTGACGTAACAAATTCCTGTGAATTTGGTAGTGCGGAAGGAAACAAAACATTTGAGTTCACCAATAAGTTTGAGCTGCCCACCACAGGCGCTGACAAGAGACTGGGAAGTATTGGTGATAGGTGGTCTGCCAATATAATTCCAAAGTTTCTCTGATATAACAGTAATATCAGAGGCAGTATCTAGCTGCAGACGAGTATCATGACCATTCATCTGAAGGTCAATATATTTCCGCATAGCTGGTGTTGTGACTTGACAGATTGCACGTAGACTCAGTGATCTTTTTGGAGATTTAGGACCGACATTTTGTTGAGCTTTTGCTGGATTATGATATCTGAGTTGGCGTGGCTGACAAAACCCATTTTTATGACCGATGATTTTGCACTTGCTGCAACGATGATTTTTGTATGGGCAAGACTTTACAAAGTGCCACGCGCCACAATGCCAGCATGGTGATGGTGGGGTCTTCTTTGCAGTATTTTGTGAAGTTGGACGAGTATGTATAGATTTCCGCGGAACATTAGAGAAGTAGGTGGGTCAGGAGTAGCTGATGGGAGATTTTTGCTCTTGCGTAATGCACGAATATCAGAGCTTTTCGGAGGTGTTGATTCGACCAAGTGTATGTCTTTCTGCAGATTAATCAGCCGTTGATATTCATCAGCTATGTCATGTAATGTTAACTTGGGATTTTGTTCTAGCTGATTGAGCAGTCGAGTTCGGATATCTGTGAAACGAGGAGATTGGAGACTGCATATGAGAATCAAG